AGGGCAGCTTGCACGAGGAGATCTGGCTACGCCGCCCACCTGGCTTCACTGGGTCGTTTCCTCCTGGTACCCAGTCGAGCCTCCGGCGGCTAGTCTACGGTTTCCGCCAGGCGCCCCGTGAGTGGCACAACACACTGAGGACAACACTTGCGGCTCTTGGGTTTGCTCCTTCTACTGCGGACCCGTCGCTGTTTCTGCGCACCGACACCTCTTTGCCGCCGTTCTACATCCTCGTGTACGTCGACGACTTGGTCTTTGCCACTGCTGACACTGCTGGACTCGCCCACGTGAAGTCTAAGCTGCTGAAGAGACTCACGTGCACAGACTTGGGTGAACTACGCAGCTACCTTGGCTTGCAGATCACCCGGGACAGAGCACGCCGCACCATTACCTTGACTCAGTCACACATGGTCCTGCAGGTCCTTCAGCGCTTCGACTTCACGTACTCCTTGCCTCATGCCACTCCTCTGTCTACTCGCCGCTCGCTCTCAGCTCTGCCTTCGGATGAGTCTGTAGAGCCGAGTGGCCCGTACCCAGAGCTTGTTGGCTGCCTCATGTACCTGATGACCTGCACACGACCTGACCTTGCATACCCTCTTAACATCTTGGCACGTTATGTTGCTCCTGGGAGACACCGACCAGAGCACATGGCTACAGCGAAGAGGGTGTTGCGCTACTTGTGCAGTACGTCGGGCATGGGGCTAGTGCTTGGAGGGCGATGTCGAGTAGTCCTCACAGGTCACGCTGACGCTTCTTGGGCTGACGACCAGGCTACGCAGCGGTCGTTACAGGGTTACACCTTCAGCCTTGGCTCCGGCTCTGTTTCGTGGCGGTCTACCCGCTCGTCTTCTGTTCTCGGCTCCAGTTGTGAGGCTGAGATCTACGCAGGGGCCATGGCTGCACAGGAGCTACGCTGGCTCACCTACCTACTGACAGACTTAGGAGAGCCGCCTCGTTCTCCTCCAGTTCTGTACATAGACAACAAGGCCATGCTGGCCTTGTGTCGGGAGCACAAACTGGAGCACAAAACGAAGCACATTGCTCTTCGCTACTTCCTTGCTCGTGAGCTGCAGCTGCGTGGTCAGCTGCGCCTTGCTTACGTGGCCTCTGAGGCCAACACTACTGATATCTTTACCTAGGCACTTCCGCCTCGTGATCATCAGCGCTTCTGTACGATGCTAGGTCTTGTGCCTACTTGGCCTCACTTGCTCACTTCTTGACCTTGCTTGTACTGTGATCTTTCTATACCTGCACTTGCTTGTTTACCTTTATATATGGTCTTGCATGTGAACTGGCCTTGTGGCCTTGTTCTTGTGCTCGGAATGTGTGGTGACGTTGTGATCCACCGTGAGCTTGCTTTGCTTTGCTTCACTGGTCTTGTGACCTCTTGTTCTCCCCCACTTTGCCTATGGGGGTGTGTTAAACTTATATGCTATAGTCTGTGTAGGCTGTAGTGGGGTAAACAATATGGGGTACAACATTTCTAGGTTTTCCTACTTGTACCCACCTCTTTCCCCTTCCATTCATTCCCCCTTTCTTCACAACCCACACTGCCCATTCAAAGTAGTTACCGACGCAAGCGATATCGCCATCGGAACCGTACTGCTACAGGATTTCGGCAATGGCCTACAGCCTATCGCATACGAGTCACGAAAACTGCATCCGCCCGAGAAAAATTACCCGACACACGACCACGAAATGCTTGCGATCGTGCACGCGTTCAAAGTATGGCGCTGTTATTCGACTGGCGCGGACGTGACAGTACGGACAGAGAATAAATCACTATATTACCTTCGCGCACAGCCACACCTCAACCCACGACAGATTTGCTGGCTCGATTTCCTCGAGTCCAACTTTCACTACACGGTCACTTACAAAAAGGGAGCCTCGAACATCGCCGACGCACTGACCCGCCCCACTGCCCAGATCCACGCAATACTACTCGCCCAGACAAGCCCGCTATTGACAGGCCTATTCACCCATGGGTACCAAACGGATCCATTCTTCACAGGAGGAAATTCGCAGCAGTTCGCAGCAGCAAAGGGAGTCTATTACCAGGGTTCTCGCTAGGTTTAGGGCCTGTCTGACAGTACCCTCAAAAACATTTTCCCCGTCTTAGGCTTTGACGACGAAATTTTTGTGGTCTGCAGTATAAGCTGAAATATTTTTCCTAGTCTGATAAACTAGACGAAAAAAAAAAACCAAGTCAGCCTACAACGAGGCTGCACAAGGCAGTTACAGAGCTGTATAAGACACGCGTAATGAATGCGCGTGCAGTTACAAGGCAGCAATCGGCTGTACCTGTGGTGGTCCTGTCCTCTGGTCAACTGGGCCTATGGCCTAGTGGGTCAAGTTGTCGGTTTCAGACGAAACCGAACTCGCTATCTGTATCCTCAGATAAAAAATTCTACACGTCTGAAAAAATCATACGAACTTAAAAGTCAAATCTTGCTGATCAGATGAGAACAAACACAAAATCTTAGGATTAAGATGAATACAAAAAAACCAGTCTTAAACGCAGACCATCAGACCAAATTGGTCTGATAACGAGAACCCTGTCTATTACGTAAAAAGCGGGACTGACCACATTTGGGTGCCTGAGTATACATTGCTACGGGAATTACTGTTACAGGAGGCACACGACGGAGTTACCTCGGGGCATTTCGGAGTAGAAAAAACATGGCAGGAGCTGCAGCGGTATTATTACTAGCCCGAAATGTTGACCGACGTACAACGACACGTGGCATCGTGTCCCACTTGTCAGCTTATGAAATCATCATGACAGCGGCCGCCGGGACAGTTACAGCTGATACCACCGCGATCCTGGTCGTCGTCGATCGACTGACGAAAATGACACATTTCGCAGCCTTCAAAAAATCAATCACAGCCGAAGAAAGAGCACGCCTCTTCATCTCCACCGTCGTTCGACTGCACGGGATACCAGCCGCGATCATCAACAACCGCGATACGAAATTCACCAGCAACTTCTGGCGGAACCTGTGGCAGCAGTTCGGCACGCGACTACAGTTCAGTTCATCATACCACTCCGAAACCGACGGACAGACAGAACGGACGAATCAGGCCATGGAACAGCTCATCAGGGCCACGTGTGACGACCCGACCACGTGGGAACAGCAACTGCCACTAATCGAATTCGCGTACAACAACTCGCTATCCGCCACGACCCAACAGTCACCATTTTACCTAAACTGCGAACAAGACCCGACAATACCCATGACCCCGAATCCCGACAACCCAGTACCACGAGCACAACAGTTCGCCGAAATATTACAAGCAGCACGGACCCGGGCAGTAGACGCAATAAAAAAATCGAACATCATCGCTAAACGCAACGCTGACCGCCACCGCACACCTGTCACTTACCAGCCCGACGACTTAGTTTTACTTGACACTTACAACCTCCGACTGCCCATCACCCCGAAACTCCGCCCCCGATACTGCGGGCCATTTCGCATAAGCCTCATGCTTACACCCGCCACCGCCCACCTCCTCCTCCTTGCTGACTAGTACGTCAGCCCCTCATTCCACGTCAGCCTACTTTGCCCTTACGTCCCGTCCACGAGCCAACTACCACGCAATCGCCCAACCAGCATGACAAGACCACCAACTGAACCAATCATCACCCCCGAGAAAATCCTGAGTCGACAGAGTTCGCGACCCTCGAGGAGCCCGAAGGATCGAGTTCTTACTCCGCTGGAAGGACCGTACACCCACCGAAGACAATTGGGTTCCCCTGGACAGAATCGAAAACCACCCCGTCCTCACCGAGTATCTGCGCAGCCGAAATTTTAGGGATGTATACGCACTTTCGTAAGGAGGACCTCCTTAGGAGGTGGGGTAGTGTAAGGAAAATTCCTTTTCTTTACTTCGCATCCCTGCTCAACGCGTACATCACTGTAGCACCACCGTCAGCACCGTTACCACTCACAACCCTCGCATCGACAATCCGCCCGCCACCTTCGCACATCGCACCCCGACCTCACGGCTCGGCGGGTAACTCGCGCTCCGGGCCTCCGCTTCGACACTTTTTCCCAACCTCAGTCCCAGGCCCGTCGCGCGACAACCTCAGTCCATTACCGTTACCACTGTATTTTCGCTATATAATCTTCGCTCATGCCTTCGCTCATTGTACTCTTGCTTAGATAGTGCAATTCTCGTTCGTTCACTCAATTGCACTCGTAACAGCTAGGCTCCTTTATAAGCAGAGTATACATTTTATATAAATGTATCGAAGCATGTCCGTTCGCCAATATCTTGACAAACAGAAGCCAACCCAAGAACAGGACAGTCAACCAATCCCAATGCCAGCAGCAGGTCAAGTCCCAGTGCGAATCCAAGCGATCTCCCGCAAACTACAATACTGTACCAGTCAGCCACTCTCCAGTAGGAACCAAATGCGTTGGCGGCACCAGACCAAATAGTGGCTAGGCTGGAGTTAGGCTTTGTCATGACTTGACCAAAGGACTGGAACAGCTTAGTTGGTAGGCTGTCGTTCCTAAAGCTTGACCTTACATGATGGTTCACCTAGCATTGCGTCTGGTTCTACGGAGGGCACTAAGAAGTGCAGAACGGACAATATTGCGCAGTAGGAATCATGATTTCTGTTTTTTCGGAATCCGCAAAACCTAGTCAGTAACACTCGCGAGGCGCGTGTATACGACTGCGTGTAGATTCTTGACCGTTAGCATGATGCTTTCCAGAGCAAGTTTTCGTCTTTTCGAAAACGCGTCGCGGAAACTGACATACAGGAATCGCACGACCATGACATGAACTGACACGATACCGCAGCGCATGCAGTAACGCGACACGATACCACACCAATCGCATGATACAGGCCCAAACGACATGACACCACTCGAAATGTCGTGACTTGACGGGACATGGCACGACGACGGGACATGTAACGAAGACGGAACATGACACGACACGGTTCCTGAAGCCGCTGATCCGGTCCACTCACAACCCTCGGCGTGCCAGCGATGGCGCTGTCGTTCTTCCGAGGGTTCTTCAAGGGAGGGCTGGTGGAGGAGGACTTAGATGCGTTCTATCCCGTGCGCCAGGACGTGCAGGTCGGCACCATCAGCAAGTTCCGACCGCGGGTGAGTTCCACCAATCCCGAGTGAGTCAGGTTGTTTGGGACTGCTCAAAACAGACTCACTGTCGCCTGGACGCGTGCTACCCCGTGCGCCAGGCGTGCGGGTCGGCAGCGTCAGGAAGTTCCGACCGCAGGTGAGTTGTGACCGCGGGTGAATCAGGAAACAGGTGGCCTTTAAGAAAAGAGAAAAATTCCAAGTCACTCCGTGCTCTTCGTGTGCCAGGAGCGTCAGGATGTGCCGCGGGTGAGTTTCTATCCCGGGTGAGTCAGCCATCGAGCACCTCTTTCCTCGTGTGTCTTGAATCTTCCCCTTCCCGCTTTCATGATCAACTATTCCGTTCTGCCGTCAAACTTGACAAACCACAGAGTCTGTGACACAGACGCCTCCTCCCCCTAATGCATCCCTCTTCCCACTCCCCCTGACGGTATGATGTGGCATGTTCTGTTGTGCCGGCATGACATGGCATGGCATGGCATGGCATGGCACATGACGCCATGGCATGACATGGTATGGCATTGCATCTGATCTCATGGGATGGCATGGCGTGACATTTCATGGCATGGCATGGGATGGCAGGCGAGCAAGCGGCTGTCGGAGGAGAAGTGGAACGACATGTTTGATGCGGAGGGGCGCATGGTCAATCTTGAGGCTGCTCTCCGCCTCATACAGCGCGGGGTACGTATGTGGCCTGCTGAGGGGTATGCATGTTTGGCTAGCTGCTTGAGTGCTCTCAAGGATGGATTTTGTGTGCTTAGAATTCACCACGCATTGTCAACCTTGACGCTGCCCCTCCGCCTCATACAACGCGGGGTATGTATTTGTGTCATGTTGAGTTGGATTTGTCCTGCTGAGTGGGATGTGTCATGCTGAGGTGTGGTGTGGGAGTACCTGCTAGGGCTGGTCAGCCTTGCAGCCACGACTGCTGAGTTCGGCAAACTATATGGCATGTGCAGAGAGGCATATTCTGCTCTGCTTCTAACCCGTTCCCCCCTCATTTCCCTGCCCGTGTTTCTCCACTGAAACCTCTTCTTCCCCAGAACTGTGAGCCGGGCATTCTCCCAGAGGTGTGGGAGTACTTGTTGGGGTTGGACAGTCCTGCAGCCACGAGTGGCGAGTGTGGCGAGCTGAGGAGCATGCGCAGGGAGGCGAATGCTGCTCTGCTTGTAACCCCTCCCATGTTTTTTTCCTGGCAATCCAACCCCCCCACCCCCACCCCCCCTCAGGGCTGTGAGCCGGGCATTCGGCCGGAGGTGTGGGAGTATCTGCTGGGGCTGGTCAGCCCGGCAGCCACGAGTGGCGAGTGTGGCGAGCTGAGGGGCATGCGCAGGGAGGCATATGTTGTCCCCCCTCTCATTTCCCCGCCGTTGTTCTCTTACTGATACCTCTTCTTCCCCCAGGGTTGTGAGCCGGGCATTCGGCCGGAGGTATGGGAGTATCTGCTGGGGCTGGTTAGCCCGGCAGCCACGAGTGGCGAGTGTGGAGAGAGGCATGTATAGAGTCACGTGCTTTGTGGAGAGAGGCATGTATAGAGTCACGTGCTTTGTGGAGAGAGGCATGCATAGAGTCACGTGCTTTGTGGCGAGAGGCATGTATAGAGTCACGTGCTTTGTGGAGAGAGGCATGCATAGAGTCACGTGCTTTGTGGCGAGAGGCATGCATAGAGTCACGTGCTTTGTGGCGAGAGGCATGTATAGAGTCACGTGCTTTGTGGCGAGAGGCATGCATAGAGTCACGTGCTTTGTGTCATCCCTTTCCTCCTCTCATTTCTCCTCTCAAACCTTCCCTAGGGCTGTGAGCCGGGCATTCGGCCGGAGGTATGGGAGTACCTCTTGGGGCTGGTCAGCCCGGCAGCCACGAGTGGCGAGTGTGGCGAGCTGAGGAGCATGCGCAGGGAGGCATATGCTGCAATGCTCAAGGAGTGCCAGCTCGTGGACCCGGTCATTGGCAGTGGCTTCGTGGTTGACTTTCCCAGAGTGCAGGTGGGTGCAGAGTGGTGAAGAGCGGTGAAGGGTGGTGGAGAAGGGTGGAGAGGGGTGGAGTAGGGCGGACATGGATGCATGACAGAGTAGGAGGGGGGAGGCGTATGCTGCAATGCTCAAGGAGTGCCAGCTCGTGGACCCTGTCATTGGCAGCGGATTTGTGGTCGACTTCCCCAGGGTCCAGGTGGGTGCAGAGCGGTGAAGGGTGATGGTGGTTGCAGAGGGGTGGAGACGGGTGGAGGTGAGTGCATAAGAGAGGGGGAGGCGTATGTTCCCTACCCCCTAAACCTCCCCCCCCCCCCCCCCCCCCCCTTCCCCCCACCCACGCCCACCCCCCACTCCCTCCTTTTCCTCCCACAATGCCAACCTGCCAGGACGATGGCACCGAGGTTGATCTCCCAGACTCCTAAGTCGGCCCGCTGCGCCTCGTGCCACCCATCCCGCCCCTCTCCCCTCACCACCACCCCCCCATCCCCCCTCCCCCCGCTCCTTCAATGGCCCCCAATGCCAGGACGATGGCACAGAGGTCGATCTCCCGGACTCCTACGTCGGCCCGCTGCGCCTCGTGCCGCCCATCCCGCCCCTCTCCCCTCACGCCCCCTGTTTTCCTCTCCAATCTCCCACCTCCCCCTCCCTTCCCCAGGACGATGGCTCAGAGTTCCATCTCCCAGACTCCTATACCGGCCCGCTGCGCCTCGTGCCGCCCATCCCGCCCCTCGACGCCGCGTGGGAGGAGACCGGGGCGCAGCTGGGGGTGCTGGAGGAGGGCGAGGAGGAGGAGGAGGAGGAAGGGAAGGGGGAGGGGGGCGAAGTGGAGGGAGGTACAAGTGACAGTGGTGGTGGTGGTCGTGGTGGTGGCAGTGGCACTGGCGGTGGTGGCAGCAAGGGGAGGGGGCGGAGGGCGAGTGAGACGGCAGTGGACGAGGCGATGAGGACGTGGGCGGCAGAGAGGGCAGAGGTGGTGGCGCGCGTGGGGCTGGACCGAATCCACAAGTGGCGCCAGGGGCTCTATCAAATAGGTCAGCATTCGGGTGAAATGCACTTTTGGGTTCAACCCAATTGACATATGAGTCGAACCAAATGCTGTACGAGTCAATGCAGAGATGGTGGCGCGCGTGTGGCTGGACCGAATCCACAAGTGGCGCCAGGGGCTCTATCAAATAGGTCAGTAAAAGCCTACACCAAGAAAGATAATCACTCAGGTGAAGTGGCACCAGGGGTTTTGCCACATGGGTCGGCAAACAGGGTCAACGAGTTGGCTGGCCGCTGGCCCGGAAAATCCGTTCGCCATCCTCCACCCTTTCACCCCTCAAGCTGTCTGTCACCACCATCTGTCAGCGTAAGTATCCCACATCTTTGTTCAAATCCCTTCCCTTATCCCTTCTCCCATCTCCCTTGCCCCATTCCCTCCCCACGCCCCTCCCGATCCCCTCTCCATCTCCTATACCCCATCCCCTCCCCACACCCTCTCCCCCGCCCGCCCTATCTCCCCTGCAGGAGTAGATGTGACCCAGGCCAATCGCTGGCTACTCCTCTTTGAGAGCAGCAGCAGCCGCGCGCTCCTCATGAGCGTGCTGGCGGTGTACGCGTGGTTCGACCCCTCCAACCCCCCCTTCTGGGCCATCCCCCTTCTCCCATCTCGCTGCAGGGGTAGACGCCACAAGAGCTGATCGCTCACTGCTCTTCTATGAGAGCAGCCACAGCCGAGCGCGCCTCATGAACTTACTGGTGGTATATGCACGGTTCGACCCTTCTGCCCCCCACCCCCAATCACCCCACCCTTCCCCCATCACCCCTCCCCACTCCCCTTTTCCACTGCAGGAGTAGACGTGACAAGAGCCGATCGATCACTGCTCTTCTTTGAGAGCAGCCGCAGCCGAGCGCGGCTGATGAACGTGCTGGCGGTGTACGCGTGGTTTGACCCCGAGGTGGGGTACTGCCAGGGCATGAGCGACCTCATGTCCCCCATGGTCGTGCTCTACCCCGACGACGCCGACGCGTTCTGGGCGTTCGAAAGGCTCATGAGGAGAGTGGTGAGTCGTGGGCTGGTTGGAGGACGTCATGAAAAGATGAGCATTCTTCCAACTTGAACAGAAGGGCACAGGGCTGGGCATTCAGAGGCAGATGAGCCTGTGGGAAGCACCTCAGTGCTCTCTCTCTTATCCTTCAACGACTTGCATCTTCACCCCATCTTTCTACTTGTCTATGCGCCACCAGAGGGAGGACTTCATGAACACGGACACGGGGCTGGGCATTCAGAGGCAGATGAGCTGGAAGCGGCTCAGGTTTCTCTCTCCCATTTATCAACCTCTTAAGTCCTTACCCCTGTACCTGTGTGCTCGCTGTCACTGCGTGCTAGAGGGAGGACTTCATGAACACGGACATGGGGCTGGGCATTCAGAGGGAGATGGAGCCTGCCGTTCGTGTGAGATTCATGAGCTCGTTTGTCCCCCTTGTACCTGTGTACTGTCTGTCACTGACTCCCAGAGGGAGGACTTTATGAACACGGACACGGGGCTGGGCATTCAGAGGGAGATCAGCCGCCTCTCCCACATGGTCTACACTCTTGACCCTGAGCTGCATGCTCACTTAGGTAAGTGTGAGTGTTCTCATGCGCTTGTGCGAGCTGCATGCGCACCCCCCACCTTCCACCTCTCCCACATGGTCTACACTCTTGACCCTGAGCTGCATGCTCACTTAGGTAAGTTCGTCACTTGGGTGAGTGCATGCTTTCACTCTATGCATGCATTCACTCTATGCATGCTTTCACTCTATGCATGCTTTCACTCTATGCATGCTTTCACTCTATGCATGCTTTCACTCTATGCATGCTTTCACTCTATGCATGCTTTCACTCTATGCATGCTTTCACTCTATGCATGCTTTCACTCTATGCATGCTTTCACTGTATGCATGCTTTCACTCTATGCATGCTTTCACTCTATGCATGCTTTCACTCTATGCATGCTTTCACTCTATGCATGCTTTCACTCTATGCATGCTTTCACTCTATGCATGCTTTCACTCTATGCATGCTTTCACTCTATGCATGCTTTCACTCTATGCATGCTTTCACTCTATGCATGCTTTCACTCTATGCATGCTTTCACTCTATGCATGCTTTCACTCTATGCATGCTTTCACTCTATGCATGCTTTCACTCTATGCATGCTTTCACTCTATGCATGCTTTCAGACGAGATTGGCTCTGGCTTGCTGCATGCATGCATGCTCCCACTCCCTCACTCTCGTCGCTATACTATACCCACACCCCTCCCCTCTCCCACCACCCATCTGACGAGATAGGCGCAGGCACCATGTTCTTCACGTTGCGCACCGTCATGGCCATGTTCCGCTATGAGCTCTCTACAAGCCCTCCTTCCTCTGCGCATGCCCTCTGTTTCCCACCCATTCTTCCCTTTTCCCTCTCGTTCTCTCTCCCATCAGACGAGATAGGAGCCGGCACCATGTTCTTCACCGTCCGCACCGTCATGGCCATGTTCCGCTATGAGCTCTCTGCGACCTCTCCTTCCTTGTTGCATGCCCTCCGACCCCCTCACATTCTTCCCCTCTTCCTCCTCTTCCCTCCCCCCCCACCTCATCAGACGAGATAGGAGCGGGCACCATGTTCTTCACGGTGCGCACAGTCATGGCCATGTTCCGCCGCGAGCTCTCCTTCGCTGATGCGCTCTACCTCTGGGAGGTGAGGGTCAACGTCGTTGTTTGATTCAAGCCGCTTCGTTGTTTGATTCAAGCCGCTTCAAAAGTTGTTGACTGCAGGCTGTGATGGTGAATCCGCGCTGTGAGGGTCAGCTTTGCCCTTCTATATCGTGAAAAGTTCCCCTCCCCTCTCGCTCGCCTTTGGCCAACCAGTCCATCACTCTTCCCATTTCCCTGGCGCTCCCCACCATTTCCCCCCGGTCATACTTTCCAAATTCTCTCTCCCCCCTACTCCCCTCTCGACGTTCAGATGACGTGGGCGTGGGACTATGTCGCATGCAATGCAGCGCTGCTGCCTCTGGCCGACCAGGCCCGTTCCATCCCCTTGCCGCACCTCCCTCCCCCACCTCCCCCACCTTCCCCCTCACCCAGCCCTCTTCCTTCCCCCCCGCTCCTGCTTCTTCCTCGCTCCTTCTTCCCCTCCCTGGCAGATGATGTGGGCGTGGGACTATGACGCGTGTAGTGCAGCGCTGCTCCCTCTAGCAGACCAGGCCATCTTCCACACGGCCCGCCACCTGCCGCACCTCACCATGGACCGCCAAGCCTACATCGCCGCCACCGCCGCTGCCGTCCGGGCGGCGGCTTCCGTCCTACTTGACGCAGATCTCTTCACGGCTATAGCTGTTGATATCGCCAACGCCACCCGCGTGCCCCTCTCTGCTGTTCCCAGTGGCACTGGTGCTTCCAGTGCTGGCGGCGCTGGGAGCATTAGCAACAGCAGCAGCAGCGGCAGTGGTGGTGTTGTTGGTGGTGGTGGGTCGCTTTCAACGTATGCGTCTGGCTCGGTGGGTACTGCAAGCAGCATTGCCGGCAGCGGCGGCACGTCGGCGTTCGCAGCGCCACATGAGGATGCGGATCGAGGCTCAGTGGACCTGTTTTCCTCCCCTCAGAGGCTGGAGATCGCCCTTATGGCTGCCGAGCTGGCTGTGACTCAGGCTGCTGTGCACGCTGTGCCTGATACCCCTGCTTCTGGGGCTCTTATGGGGAGGAAAGGGGGTGGGGGAGTGGGTGGGAGGGAGTTTGTTGTGCCAGAGGAGTGGGAGGACGGTGGAGGGGTGGAGGAGGGAGAGGAGGGGTGGGAAGGGGAGGAGGAGGATGGGGAGGCATATGGAGAGAGTGAGAGTGAAGAGGAGGATGAGGAGGACGAGGAGGGGGAGGGAAGTAGGAGTGAGAGTCAGGGCAGTGACTTAGAAGGTGAGAGCGGGGAGGAGGATCAGGAGAGCACGGGGTATAGTTCAGAGGAGGACAGGGAGGGAGAGGAGGGCGCAAAAGGGGGAGAGAGTGAGGGGGAGGAGGAGGAGGAGGAGGAGGAGGAGGGGGAGTGGGGGAGGGAGAGGCGACTGTCTGAGGCAGCGGCTAGAATAGCGGGAGTGTGGGAGGAAGAAGAGGAGGAAGAGGAGGAAGCTGAAGAGGTGGGGGTTGCAGGGGTAGAAGTGGGAGGGGAAGGAGGGGCAGCAGTTGGAGGGGCAGATAGAGGGGTGAGCATGGTAGCAGCGGAAGGGGCAGGCACAGACACAGCAGGGGGATCGATTGGAGTCAGTTGGAGTGCAACTGGTAGTGAGCCGTCCTTCTTTGGCCGCATGCGGTCCCTGTGGGGCAAGAAGGACGATGCTGCTGCTCCTGCTGCTCCTGCTGCTCCTGCTGCTCCTGCTGTTCCTGCTCCTGCTACTGCTCTCTTCTTGTGGGGCAAAAAGGACGACCCTCCACTTCCCCCTCTTCCTCCTGCTGCTCCTGCTGCTGCTGCTGATGCTGCAGCTCATGTAACAGCTGCTACTAGCGCTGCTGCTGCCAGTGGGGGCGAGGAGAGGGTGGGTGGCAGTAGGAAAGTGCATCAAAGCCACTCTGCCAGCGAGCTGACACACGTTCACGGAAGCACCACCAGCGGCACCACCACCAGCGGCACCACCGCCACCACCACCAGCAACACCCACCCACATGCGACTGAAACTTTCATGGCACCAACACACTCGAAAACCAGATCTGATGGCACAGCAGCCACAGAAGCAGCAGAGCCATCAGCAGCTGTAGCGGCAGAGCCCACCCAGGCAGCAGCAGCAGTGGGTGTAGCAGGCAGCAGCAGCGAGGGGCTATTTGATGGGTTGTTTGGCTTCACCCGCAGCATCACCATCCACGTCATGGGCAGCAGCACCACGGCCCGCCCGCCCGCCAGCAGCAGCACCACCCGCCCGCCCCTCCCTGCCTCCTCCTCTCCTCCGTTCGCCTCCGCGCACAGGCACAGCAGCAGCAACGCGGAAGACACAGTGCTAGATCTCTCTGCTGTGTCCTCCCGAGTGGCCTTTGATCCGTCTAAGGACCTTCCTCCGGATGAGAGGCTGCCGACTAGCCAGCAGCTGGAGGCTCGGAGGAGGGTGGCGTTGAGAGGGGGTGTGGGGAGCTGTGTTGAGCGGGGGCAGGGCGAGGGGAGGGGGCGGATTGTGCGGTCTGTGTCAGGGGGAAACTGGAAAGAGAGCGAGCCTGGGAGAGAGGGAGGAGGGCAAAGAGAGTGGAAGGAGGGGAGAGAGGGGAGAGAGGGGAGAGAGGGGAGAGAGGGGGATGATGGGTGCGGAGGAGGTGGGGGCGGTGGGGAAGGGGTTTTGGCTCGGAGTGGGTATGGGAGAGCAGGGTTCGACACAGGGAGGCCTCCTCCTGCTGTAGCTCGGAAGGGCCGAGGGAGTGAGAGAGAGGAGGCGGAGAGGAGGAGGGAGGAGGACGGGGACGAGCGGAGAGGAGAGAAGATGGGGAGGACAGGAAATGAGGGGGTGGATGGCAGAGCAGGAAGCAACGGTGCAGATTCTCCAGCTGCGAGGCCACTCCAGATGGACGGTCAGGATCGGCCGCCGCTCCCGCTGCGCAGATACCAGTCAATGGGGACGGAGAGAGAGATGAAAATCCCCAGCATCACCACCGGCAGCACCATGACCAGCAGCAACAGCATGAGCAACAAGGGGAACAACTGTACCAGTGGTAGACAACAAAGCTCCAACTCCACTGGAGGGGCTTCTCTAAGCATCATTGCTGCAGGAGCTGCAGGTTCTTCTATATCTAGCAGCATCGGAGCTTCTTCAGGCTCTAGCCGCTCCCTGCAGCGCCCCATGGGAGGCTCGCTCAAATTCGACGTTCCCCGCATCGACGTCAACGCACTCCCCACCATCCTCGCCCCGCCCTCGCACCCCTCCCACCCGTCCCAGCGGGCCCGTACCCACCTCCCCTTCCCGCTCTCCTCCCACCACCAGCCGTACTCGTCCTCCTTCCACTCGCGCCTGCTCCGCCGGCAAAACAGCTCTCAGAAACAGAAGGCTGCAGCGGTGGCCGTGCAGCGGCAGCAGCAGCGGCAGAAGCAGCAGCAGCTGGAGCAGCAGCTGCAGCAGGTGAAGCAGAAGCACGGGTTTCTGAGGAGGTATCAGAGCATGCATCCGGGGCTGATGCTGTTGCGCCCGCTGCACCTACCACTCGTGTGGAAGCAGGAACAGCAGTTGGCAGAGCTGAAAAGCCACAGAAGCATGAAGGAGCATCGGAGCATGGGAGAGGCAGCAGCAGCTGCTGCTCACGACTTCTCTGCTGCGCTTTCTTCTGTTGCTGCATCTGCTGCAGTGGTCAAGGGCAGCAGTGAAAGTTTTTGGGGTTTCAGTCGAGATTTGGAGCAGAATGAGAAGCCCACTGCTGCTACAGTTACAAGCAATTGGAGCCCAGCCGTGGTTTTTTCTGCCGGACCTTCTTACACTGCTGCTGCTTCCGCCGCTGCCGCTACAGCTGCTACAACTACGTCTCTCAGCAGAACAGGAGGCACCAACCACAATGCCACCTGCAGCTTCACAGCAGATTCCTCTTTCAACCCTTCCATCACCCCCCCTTCCTCTCGCACCCTCTCCCGCTCCTTCACCTGGGCTGATTCCGGGCCTTACAGGCGGGATAATCTTAGGTTTGCGGCCACCATTGCTCTGCGCGAACCTTCCTCCCGAACCAGCTTCCGCAGGCACGGGAGCCCGGCGCTAGGCTCGGCACGGAGCGCTGGTGGTCGCTCGGCGAGGTCCCGCAGGGAGAAGCTGCGGAGGGGGGTGAGTTTCGGTTCGGAGCCAGACCTGGGTTCGGGAAGAGGCTCGGGTGGAGGGTTTGGATCACCATCGGAGCAGCAACGGAGGAGAAGCTCTGAGGTTCGGAGGGAGGGAAGGCATGAAGGAGCAGATGGGGAAGAAGGAGGAGCGCCAATAGCAGCAGCAGCAGTTGCAGCGACGGCGCCTTCAGGAGTTGGGAATATGAATGTGAGGCGGGTAAGAAGCGATGAAGAGCACTTGTCTTCCGTTAGCAGCAGCAGCAGTTGCAGCGTTAACCTGGTTCCTCGGGCCATGCCACCTCTCCCCTTGAGAGACAGTCCGAAAGCACCCATAGGCGCCGTGAAGGGCGGCCCTAAAGGTAGTCCAAAAACACCCATAGGCGTCGCAAAGGACAGTCCGAAGCCGCCCATAGGGGCCCTGAAGGGCCAGCAGGACAGTCTGGGGTCGCCCATGGGGGGTATGCTCAGAGACAGCCCGAAAACGCCCCTGAGCGTGACGCAGAGGGAGCTGGGGAGGGCAGATAGCCCCAAGATCCCTGCTCTGGAAGGGGCGTTGCGCAGGGAGAAGGATGGCACCTCGCCGTTGTCGGGCCCTACGCCTGCAGTGCCGTTGCTAGCAGTGCCTGCACCCACGCGTGCGACGTTTGAGTGGAGCCAGAGGCATATGAGAGGGCATTCTCCCAAGGAGGGCTCCTCGCCCTCGTTTCTCCGCTCCCCTGCTGCTGATGCAAGTGCTCCTGCTGCTGGCGCAGCCGCAACCGCCGCCGCCGCCCCCGCCGCCGCCGCCGCTGCTGCTGCTGCTATCAGTACTGCTGTAGTGGTTGGGTCTGCCCCTGTTGGTCCTCAATGGGGTAACGAGAGCAGAACAGGGGGCGGCAGCAAGGACGATTCGAGTGCTCCTCTGCAGCGACTAAGGCCCCCCCGTGTTGAGCTCCCTGAAACTGCCGCTGGCACTGCCGCCGGTGCTGCTGCTGTTGCTGCCGCTGGCGCTGGTGCTGCTGGCGTTGCTGCTGCAGCTGGCTCCGACACAAAGCCTTCTCTCTTCCTGCCTCCCAGGTCGCCTGGAACTTTCTCCCACAAGCCCTCCCGCTCTCTCCCTTCACCCTCTTCCTCTGCCTCTGCTCGCCCTGCCTCACCTGCTGATCTGCCCATTGCAGTGGGAAAGCGGAGGCAGGCCGGCAGCAGCATGGGTGGCGCTGCTGGTGCTGGTGCTGGTGGTGGTGCTGGTGGTGGTGCTGGTGCTGGTGCTGGTGCTGGTGGTGGTGCTGGTGGTGGTGCTGGTGGTGGTGGTGCTGCTCGCACTAGCCATTTTCCCCTAGGCCTGCCTCCCATATCTCCTAGGGTCGGCTCAGCAGGCTCGGGCACCGAGGCTGCAGGTTCGGCATCCGGCAGCATGTTCGGGCACGGCTGGGGAGGCTCCTCTAAGTCCCCTCGCTTCCTGCCGGCTGCTCCCACCATGGCTGGTATCACAGGAGGAGGCATAGACGCAGGCAGCACAGCAGGCAGCACAAGCAGCAAGGCCGGCAAACCGAAACACGAGGCTAAACCAAACCACGAAGCAGAACCGAAGCGCCAATCGGCACCCGAACTGGGCATTGGTATTATCCATACAGGGCCCCGTGTACAAGAAGATCAGGAGGTCGATCTGATGCCAGAGGGAGCACTGGAGGAGCCAGACGCGCTACAAGACGCCTTACCAGACGACTCACCGGGCGACCCACCACCAGACGCCCTACCAGACGTGCCATTCCTCTTCCCACCCTCCAAGTCCCTCGCTAGAGCGTCCTATGAAGGCAGAGGGGGGTCGATGCATGAGAGTGGAACCCAAATGAGCAAAAACCATCCTCATCATCAACCCTCTCACTTGTTCCCCCACTCGAGGTCTCTGTCTGGCGCCTCTCCCCCCTCTCCTGCTAGCATCTTCAAGGCTCCCCTCCGCCGATTGAACCTCAGGGTTCCCCCTGAATTACACCTGAATCTCAAGTCACCCCGGGCGGAACACCCTCCAAAATCCCCGGGTTCCGTGCCCTTTGCCCTCCCTTTTGAGGTGACTCTTGGGCTGAAATCTCCTGGTCCGTTCAGAATCCCCCCTGAGCTAAGCGCTGGAATGAAGTCCCCTCGGCCGTTTGTTCCTCCTGACCTGCTTAAATCCCCGCTGGCGCTTAAATCCCCGTCTTCTAGAGATTTCCTGGCTAAGATTTTCGACGATACGAACCGAGCGACGATGGGGTCGAGTGCGGTGAAAGGGGGTGCCAAAGGGTGGCACAGCCTTCCGCGGGAGGCAAGAGGGGTGATGGGAGGGCGTGAGGGGGAGGAGGGGAGGGAGCAGGGGAGGCGACACATAGACAAGGAGAGTGGGCAGGGTGGGGAGTGGTTGGGAACGCCTCAGAGGAGTTTAAGTGGGGAACGGAATCAAAGGGATAAAGTAAAACCCACTCATCACAGAAGCGCCAGTGGCGAGGGAGGAATGAAGGGGTTTTGGGGGTTGCAGAAGGCAGGGGAAGCAACGGGTGAGAGCGATAAGGAGAAAGAGGCAGGCGGGGGAGCAGAGGAAGGCACGAGTGGCCCGCGGGAAGCAGCAGTATCGAGTGTAAGGGTGACTGAGAGAGGGGGGGAGGAGACAGCAGATGTGATAGCTATGGGTGGGGCATTGAGTGAAGGGGTAGGGGAGGATGGGGAGCGCAAGGAAGTGTCTGAAAGGGGGAGGAAGGGTGGTGAAGCGGGGCAAGAGGCAGATGCGGAAGCGGACTGGCAGGGATTCAGCGTGGTGCACAGCCCTTCGCTGCCCTTGGCTCCTCCTCCTGCCGCTGCTCCTGCTGCTGCTCCTGCTGCTGCTGTGGTTGCTCCTGCTCCTGCTCCTGCTCCTGCTCTTGCTCCTGCTCTTGCTCCTGCTCCTGCTCCTCCTCCTCCTCCTGCTGTTGCTGCACCTGCCGCTCCTGCAGCAGGCACAGAGGAAGCCTTTCACTTCAAGCCTCTCTCGTCTGCCACAGCACCTAAAGTACTGCCACCACCACCCCCAGCCTTCTCCGCACCAGCTGCGACAACCACACTACCATCGTCATCGTCACCATCCTCCTCTTCCTCCACAGTACTGGCAACAGCAGCAACAGCAACAGACAGCCCAAGCAGCACCACCAGTCCCATCTCCCAAACCTCTCCCTCCCTAGCCTCAAGCACAGGCTCGGGCTCAGGCTCGGGCTTAGGCTTGGACCGCAGGCGCCCCTCAATCCCGCCTCTCATGGTCCTCGCCCCGTCCGCACCTCTCCCCAGCTCCATCACCAAACCTGCCGCCGAGCCTCCGGCCTCCCCTACCGAGTCTAACCTATCGTCCCCTGCTCTGTCCGTTGCTGAGATCCCGTCCCCACAGGGGGAGGTGGATGAGGAGGGGGTGCTGGTGGGGGGAGGAGAGGAGGATGGGGAGGTGGAGGTTGAGAGGATGACGACGTTCTGTGTGCTGGCGATTCTGCTGGAGATGAGGGAAGACCTGGTGCAGTACGCTCAGGGGCTGGACGATGTGGTACATGTGAGTGACCCGTGTGGGGCATGTTGGGCATGTTGGTGCATGTGAGTGGGGTATGTGTGGTGAGCATGCATGCTGGCGATCCTGCTGGAGGTGAGGGAAGACCTGGTGCAGTACACTCAAGGGCTGGACGACGCTGTGCATGTGAGTGGGGCACTTAGGGTATGAGATTGGGGCATGTGAGTTGCACAGGCATTGCATCAACCAAGTATCTTTCATTTCATGCGTAGTGTCTTCCTTCCTCTCAACTTTCTTGCTCCTCTCAACCTTCCCCAATTCCCCTCTCCTCCCCACCTCCCCATTACCCCCCCACCCCGCTCACTCTCTGTCTCCCCCTTCTGTTCTCTCTCGTTCTCTCCTGCCCCGTCCCAGTATTTCAACCTTGCAGCTACCAGTTGGAATATAAAGAAGCTCTGCAAGAAGGCAGTGACATACCATCGCAAATATCTTTACCTGGTAAGAATGCTAGTCCACACCTTTCTTGCAACCACTAGGTGGGTTGGCACCACCACAGCCACCTCTTTTTACACACCGCACTCCAAATTACGTCCATGCACATGGCGTTTTCTGTGTGGTGAAGTTCGATTGTGTTCTAATGTTAGCATGTGGTTTGCTTGTGGTTTGGCTGCCTTCACATCTATGTTTGCTACCCAACCCCTTGAATTGTGCAGAGAATGGCTCGAGCGAACGCCATGTCAATTTACTTTACATAGTTGATGCAGAGCTCAGAATGGTGACAGATCTGGCTACATTGAATCTATTGTCAATCACAGGTGGAAATGGCTTGGTCAGGCTAATAGAGCCCTATAATTTGCTACACTTCTTGCACCAAGGTTATTGTACCTAAATACCTCTTGGACGAGCCGCGCTCGATAGTATCATCGCATCATCCCCTTTCACGCCAGGCCTTCATAAGTTTGTTCAATGCCCGTGGACACGGCTATGGCAGAGAACTCGGCCAGTGACAACATCGAAAATGCTAGGCGAAGGCATTTACAGGACAAACGGACAACCAACATCAAACGGTGACAAAAAAAAAAAAAAAAAAAAAAAAAAAAAAAAAAAAAAAAAAAAAAAAAAAAAAAAAAAAAAAAAAACAAAAAACAAAAAACAAAAAAAAAACAAAAAAAAAAAAAAAAACATCAAACGGTGCAGTGCAAACAAAGTGTTCACGCGTTTCAGGACAATTACAGGTCAAGAATTTTACCGAGTCAGGTCAGCAGCAGCAGCTGCGCCAGCGAATGTACAGTAAATACAGTCCAGCCAGGTCGTGCCTTGACGACAGTGTGGTGTGCGTTCTCTAACTGGCACTAGCAAGTTGCACCAGCTAATTGTATCCTCCTTTGTGTACATAGCCCGTGTTTTCCAGCTCGTTTTGGGCTTTGTCGTTTCGGAAACTCGGCTTTTCGGGGAGCACCCAGCTTTCACCGTGTGGAAGCCTACTTAACCGTACTGAAATAAGCAATAATCCAGCGAAAGTGTGCGATATCCCCTTGGGCTTGCCGATTGCAAATCACGAATCACCACCACAGCACAAGTTCCCAGAATCCCCCAATCCCGATGGACCTTGGGCTTGCTTTGCTTGTTTCTCCCCCTCTCTCTTGTTGCCCCTCCTCACACCGTTCGGCCACTCCGTCGCACAACTCTTGGCCCGAGCTATCATCCATCTTGGCTGTACAAACAACACAATCCTTTTTCTAGCCATCCAGTCTGGTCTCTGCTGCGCTGCGTCACATTCGGGCCGCTTCATCAGCTCGCCTCACTTACCTACTGATTGGTATTACAGACAGACTCTTAGTGGCGTGGCGTCACATGCTCTACAGAATCCAGAAAGGCATTTGACGACAAGTGGGTGGATAAGATGACCTAGAAAATGTATCACTTTCGCACATGTTCTAGTTTTGCAAGACGTCAGGCATGCTGCTAGAGTGACGAGGCGCTTCGAAGGTGATTTACGATAGTATTTAAAGGCTTAGTCGCATCAGGTTTCTTCCCTTCTTCAAAGAGTTGCGACGAGTATGCTTCTGATGTCGCGAGCAGTCGCTGTTAGTTCGCGACAACGACCCTAGTCCGGTTCGCTTAGCTGTACTACCCGAGCTAATGCCCGTCGGTGATTAAATGACAGTTTGCCTGCGTCTCTCGTTCTACGACACAATACCAGCTTCTCGCGATATGGCCTTCAGCCCTCGCGCCGAACCTCGTTCTAGTCTGCGTGCTTAGCTAGAAATCAGTATTTCGCAATACGCGATGGAGGGTTAGCATACTATCGGGACATTACCGCGCTAGAAGACGCGCAACGGCTCACCTACTTATTTATCTCGGCTTCATTCCTTCGCGTTGATCCCTTTCCGTTTCTATCACATCGCTTTTAGTCACCATGGACTGGTACGCCCAGCCACAGGACGGCGGCGCGCGTTTCGGCGCGTCTCGCTCCATGCCGCCACGTCAGTACGTAGCCACAACGACGCCTGCTGAAGCTGTTCCCGAACTTCTAAACCGCTCTCCACGTTCGTCCACCCTCCCGAACCACCCGCCGTACCATTATCCGAACCACCCCCCGAACCAGCGGTACCGGCAACTACCCGAGCCTGGTAACGACGCTCGGCCCTATAGCGACCAGCACATTCCCCTTTCCGGCGACGCCCCCGGTAAGCGCGAGCGCGCCAACCGCGCCCTCCGCAAGGGCATCTCCGCCTCGTCCGCGGAACTAGACCCGCCGAGTTCCGTGCGCCATCGAAATGATGACTCTAGGCAGTGTGACAATATTGGTGGTGAGCAAAACGAGCTCACGGAGTATCTCTTTGGAGAGGGGGGGCTTGGAGAAGGCGCGTGGGGTTCTGGCGGCGATGAGTACGCGCGCGGAACTGGCGGCGGGATTGGCGGCGTTGCGGATGGCGGTGCTGGTGGCAGCGGTAGATTCGACGATGCGATAAGAGTCGATCTGGGTCGAGGGGTCTCTAATGCTCGGCATGGTATGCCCAAATCTCCGTCTGCGCGCCGCGCCGCCGACATTAACCAGCCAGCCGTCAACCGCCGGCAGGGGTGGCGGAGGGGCAGTGACGGGCTGTCAGGTTGGGCGGAGAATCCCGAAGACGTGCCCGAGCCTATGCCCATGGTTCGGCGCTATACCACGGGCATGGGCGGGATGGCAGTTTCGCACGGCGAGCGGGGGAAGGGGGGGGAGGGTACTGGGGAAGCCGGGCAATGGCGGAGCGGAAATCAGGGGGAGAGGGCGGAGCGGGCGCACGGAATGCCGCTGCAGCGGCGATCGAAAACGGGACCTGATAGTCTCAGAAATCATACGCTGGTTACCGCGGGGAATACGGCAGGGAACACGGCAGCAGGTGCTTCTTGGGGAGGCGCCGCGGGACACGGGGAGAGTTTTGGCGGCTTTGGCGGGGGGTTCAGAAGTGCCGGCGGCGCACCAGAGTCGTCCTCAGGCGGATCGGTGCGAAGCGGTACCAGTGAGGGGCAGACGGCGTGGGAGGCGCGGTGGGGGGCGGAGCAGCAGAGAGTCGCGGGAGGTAGCGGTAGACTGGCGGGCGGCGGAGGGAGCGGCAGACTGGTGGGCGCTGGAGGCGGGAACGGCGGCGGGAGGGAAGGCGCAGGCGGAGTCGCGGGGATGGGGGGACCCCGCGGGGTGCGCGCGGGGAGCATAGGCATCATGTCTCCGCGCCTGCTGAGATTCCTGGTAGACGAAGACAGCCCCGTAGGCCCGAACCCTAGCGGGGGATTCGACGACGGACGGAGGCGCGGGGGAGACGGGCGTAAGGCAAAAGGGCGGGGGAAGGACGCGGGGATGGGGAAAGCGGAGGCCGGCGGACCAGGGGGGAGGGGAAGCAGGGAGCGGGAGAGAGAGGGAGGGGGGCAGGTTGGGAGGAGGCAAGATAATTCCAGGTATCAGGAGACAGGCGGCGGGGTGACCGCCAGAGCTGCTGCGGCGGCGGCGGCGATGGGGGGAAGCAGCGGCGAGGGGGGGCGGAGATCCCCCAGAGCGGACGCCGCCTTGTACTTCCCCAAGTCGCGCAGCGTCGCTGTGCCAAAATCCCCGCTCTCCGCTGCGCCGCGCGTTGTTCCTCCCCCCCTCACGCCCCAGCCCGCGCTTCCCCCGGTTTCTCCCGCCCGCCAGCGCTTCCCCAGGTCCGCCTCCTCCTCCGCGCGCGCCCTAGTGCGTTCCGCCAATGCCTCCCCCACCGCTGCTGCCCCAGCCTTATCGCCTCACTCTAGCACCAGTACTGATCTCTATTCCGAATCCGGCTCTCATGTAAGCACAGGTGTGTTTTCCCAGGCGTTTCAGGGTTCAGAGAAACAAAGTGCAAGCCCCGTTTATGATCCGCGTACAGCCTCCGCCCCTCGTACGGGTTCCTCCCCTCGTACAGGCTCATCTCCCCGTACGGTTTCATCTCCTCGTGGGGGGTTACTTCCCGGTACTGGAACGTCTCCGCGTACGGGGTCGTCCCTTCGTACTGGCCCATCTCCCCGTGATGCATCATCTCCCTCGCACTCTCCCTCCTCCTACCCTCCCAAAAGTTCCTATCCTCCCAGTAACTCGTTCTCCCTGCGCCCCTCCTCTGGCGATTCCGCCGGTTCCGCCTCCGGGGAAACGGGGAAGACGGGAGGGGCGGGAGGGGCGGAAGTGGGGGGGGGAGTGGCTGGTGGTGCTGGTCCGTTCCCTGCCTACCCCACCTCCTCGTCTTTCTCGTTTGAGTCTAACCAGGCATCGATACAGTCACCCACGTCCTTGCATTACGCCCCCGTTAGTGCGCATGGGCATGGCAGTGATGGTAGCGCCGGTGGAGATGGGGGCGTATCGACAGATGTGTCTGATGACATGGGTCGAAGGCTGCAGCAGCAACTGCACGCCCAGAACACGAATCCACAGCAGAACCAGCACCACCAGCACCACCAGCACCCCCAGCACCACCAGCACCACCAGCACCACCAGCACCACCAGCAGCAGCAGCTGCATCAGAATCAGCAGCCGCAGCAGCAGCAGCTGCATCAGAATCAGCAGCCGCAGCAGCAGCAGCTGCATCAGAAACAGCAGCCGCAGCAGCAGCAGCTGCATCAGAAACAGCAGCCGCAGCAGCAACAGCAGCAGCCGTTGCTGGTGAGACTGCAGGAGCAAAGAACATCGGCCTCCGTCTCCTCGCCCTCCCTCTCCGCCCCTACCCTGACCGTCCGCAGCAACAGCGAAAAGTTTCGCCGCCCCGCTGCCCTGGATCTCGGGCAGCTCTCGCCAACCAATCAGCTGGAACCAGAGGACTTGGTAGAAGAAGACGGGCAGGAAGTTATGGTGCGATTGGGAGATGAGGAAGAGGAGGAGGAGGAAGAAGGGGAGGTGCTTGCACGTGAGAATTATTTGCTGCAGGGGAGGGAACAGGTGGGGAAGGTAGAAGGGGCAGGTGGGCAGGGGTGGGAGGAAGAGATTTATTACTTAGACGAGCCAGATGATGGGATGGAATATCAGAAACAGCAGAAGCAGCAGCAGCAGCAGCAGGCACCTCCCCCCACCAAACCTAAGCCCCGAGCCTTGGTGACTGGTTCGGCAGATTGCTCTGGAGACAATGGCAGTACCACGCTTCTAGACTCTTTAGAGCCTCTGGCTGGGGATCCTGATGAGGAGGAGGACGGGGAGGGGTATGGGGGGTACGATTGGGGAGAGATGGGGGAGGGGGAGGAGGAGAAGGAGAGTGAGGAGGCTCGGAGGAGAGGGCACAGGCGGACGGGGAGTCTAGGAGGGGGTGGGCGGGGAGGGGGAGAGGGAGAGGAGAGTGGAAGGGGGAAGTCCCAGCGACGGCAGGCGTTTATTCAGAAGCTTAAAGGCCTGGCTTCCCCGCATTTTAGGGACGATAAGGGGAAGGCGAGGGGGTGGCAGGGGGGTGATGGGGAGGCGGAGGGAAAGCAGGAGGAAGAAGAGAAGAGGGGAGGGGGGAAGGGTGAGGGGAAAGGGGGGAAGGGAGTGGGGAGGAATGCAGTAACTCCCCGAGCTGGGGGAGGGGGAGGGGGAGGGGGAGTGGGCGGGTGGGGGCGCAGTATCACAGGGGAGAGAACGCGGAGAGAGGCAGATGCAGTGGTATCGGCAACAGGGAAGGGCGGCGGCAAGGAGAAGGAAAAGGAGAGGGAAGGGGATCGGGAGAAGGGGCGGAGGATGGTAGAGGCGCTCCTAGATATGCCCACGAGAAGGTTGGAGTCACCAGCACGAGGGAAGCCAAGGAAAGAGGTAGTGCGGCCAGGGACAGGAGGCAAAGAGGGGGCAGGGGGAGCAGGCGGAGGAGCAGCAGGGGGGGGAGCAGCAGCGGGGGGGGGGGGACTCTTTGCGCAAGAGCACAGAGAGTCTGGTGAAAGAATCAAAGGGGTTGTTGCTGTGGGAAAAACGAAAGGTCGGAGGGGGAGCAGGAGGGAAAGGAAACGAGGGAGGTGGGGCAGGAGAGGTCAAAACGCCTAGTTTTCTCCGTTCGTTCACCCAGCCTCGCTCCTCCAGCAGTAGAGGCTCCAAAACACCCAAGGGGGGCACCAGCGCAAGCACCAGCGGCGGCACTAGCAACACTGCTAGCACCAGCACTGGTGGCGGTGGCGGCGTTAGCAGCAGCAGCGGCATTGGCATCAGCTTGGCCTCACGGTCGTTCAAAATGGACCACAGATCGGATCACAGCACGAGTGCGGGCGGCAGCAAAACGCCAAAGGAGGCCAGCCAGCACAGGTCGAAGCGGGCTGGGTCAGGCACGTGGGGAGGGGGCCTGGTGGCTGCAGTGGAGGGGTTTAGCCGTAGCCTCACTGCTCCTAAAGGCTCCTTTGGTTCGGCTGCTGCTGCTGCTGGTAACGCCTCTGCTTCTTCTGCTAGTAACGCTGTTGCTGCTGCTGCTGCTGCTGCTGGCACTGGTGGTAGCAGTGGTAACAGCACTGCTCCTGCTGGTGCCGCTGCTGCTGGTGGTGCCGCTGCTGGTGCTGGTGCTGGCGCTAGTGCTGCTGGTGGTGGTGGTGAGGGCGGTGGAATGAAGAAGGTCAAAGGATTGACCGTATCAACATCTCCTCGTCGCCTCAGCATCAGCGGCACCACCACTGCTGCAGCCCACTCCTCCTCTCCTTCTTCCACTTTCACTGATAACTCGCAGAAACACTCCCCTGCTTCTGCCACCACTCCCAGTGGTGTATCTGCTGCTGCTGCTCTCTCTGCCACTGCTGCTGCCACTGCTGCTGCAGCTTCTGCTGCTTCTGCTGCAGCTGGTGGTGGTTCGTCCGGTTCTGCTCCCTCCGTGTCAGGTTCGGGCCGAGCCGGTTCGTCCACGCCAAAGAACGCAGCAGGTTCGGGCAAAGCCTCGTCGCCTGGCTCTGCCAGTGCCACCGGCAGTCCCTCTGCTTCTTCCCCTGCTGGTGCCACTGCCAATGCCCCTGCTGCTGCTGCTGCTGCTGCTGGCGGTGCTGGTGCTTCTGGGACATCCAGAGGCCGTGCAGAGACCAGGAGCAAGAGCCCTCGCACCAGCAGGACCAAAAGCCCTGGGAAGAGAGACGAGCAGGGTTCTGGGAAGTCAAGTTCCGGGCAGAACGAGAAGAAAAGCTCTTCGCGAACCACCAGCCCGAAAACTCTGAGCCCCAGGACTCCCCGCGGCGACGGGCAGCAGCAGCAGCAGCAGCCGGGCACGGGCAGCACGGAAGGGATTTTCGAGCGCGGGTTCACAGACATCCGGAAGAGATTTGAGGTCGGGCAGCAGATCGGGCAGGGGCGGCGGGGGGTGGTGGTGTATATGTGTGTGGAGAGGCGCACGGGGCGGGCGTATGCGTGCAAGGCGATTGACAAGGCGACTCTGGTGGAGCCGAGGAAGGTGGCTGCTGTGCGGGCTGAGGTGGACGTTATGAGGAAGCTTCTGGGATGGCCGCACGTGGTGGGGATCAAAGACGCACTAGAGGACGAAAAGGTGAGCAGTTAGGGCTGTGGAGATGGTTTCAGGAGGGTTACAGAGGGGTTTAGGGTTCGGGGTTTGGGGTTCAGGGTTTGGGGTTCGGGGTTTGGGGTTTGGTGTTTGAGCTAAATTTGAGTATATTCTGGGATGGCCACATGTGGTGGGGATCAAAGACGCACTGGAGGGCGAAAAGGTGAGCGCCAGGGCTGTTTGGGTGGTATCGGTGGGAGTTAGGGTTCCGGAATCGGTAGTGGTGAGGGAAACATGAGGGTTGGGGTTTGAGCCGGTCAAGCTGCAGGGATGGCCCCAAGTGGTGGGGATCAAAGAGGCACTAGAGGATGAAAAGGTGAGGAGTTAGTGTTGAAGCTTTGGTTTTGACACAGGGGCTAGGGGCTAGGGCTTGCGTGAAGAGTAGGGTTTTAGTGAGAGAAGCTTTGGGATGGCCGCATGTGGTGGGGATCAAAGACGCACTGGACTGGAGGGCGAAAAGGTGAGCGCCAGGGGGCTGGGGGTGTGGACTCAGGAGGTTTGGAGTGGGGCTGAGGAAGGTGACACGTGTGCAAGCTGGATTGGATGGCCGCACGTGGTGGAGATCGATCAAAGATGCGCTAGAGGACAAATATGTGAGCGCGCATGGGAGCTGTAGAAGTGGCTCTGATGAGGTTGGTTGGACCAGAGGTTAGGGCTGGAGTGAAAATTAGGGTTTGAGTGAGAGAGGCTTTTTGGGATGGGCGCAAGCACGTGGTGGGGATGAAAGATTCACAAGAGGATGAAAAGGTGGGCTCCTGGTGGTATGTAGGAGTGGTTAAAAAAATCCGGAAAAGGCAACAAGAAACATCAAACTCTGAGGGACTCTATCAAAATCTAATAAACTCTCAAAGGTTGTGATTCTTGAGATAACCAACAGAAACCAACAAAGTCTCAGTGGCTATGGTCATCGTTATGGAGCTGCTTGGGGAGCAGCCTTCTCAATCGCACCTTCACCTTCTCCCTACCCATAAACCACCCCCTCTTCCTCCCTTCTACCCCTCCCTCCCCCCACCCCTCCCGCCCTCCTCTCCCTCTATCCCTACCCCATCTCCCACTTTCCTTTTTCATCTCCCCCCTCCCTTACCGCCTCGTTTCCCCTCGGAAACACTAGAGCACCGAAACCCACAACCAGCACGCCCCCTTTCCCCATCCCCTCTGTCTGTCCCCTCTTTCCTCCCCTCCCCTCTCTCTCCACTGCGTGTACATTCTGATGGAGCTCTGCTTGCTTATCATCGCCCTCCCTCCATCACCCCCTCCCCTTCCCCTCCCCTCCCCCCGCTCTCCTCCCTTCCAGTGCGAGCTCTGCTTGCTCTGCTTGCCTTCTCATAGAGCTTTGCTTCGAAGGCGATCTCCTGACCAGATCAACTCGTCGCCATTCATCTCGGAGGGAGAGGCCGCCATCTTCCTGCGCGTGCTGGCAGAGACACCAGAGCACCCAAACCCACAACCAGGCACCATGCCCCCTTTCCCCCATCCACCCTGTGTTCTCCCCTTTTGTTTGAGATTAGTTTTGAGAATTCTCAAAACTATTCTCAACCCACAACCAGGCACCATGCCCCCTTTCCCCCATCCCATCCATCCTGTCTTCTCCCCTCTTTCCTCCCCTAGCTCCCCCTTTCGAGTGCGTCTATATTGTGATGGATCTTTGCTTTGAAGGCGATCTCCTGGATCACATCAACTCGTCGCCGTTCATCTCGGAGCGGGAGGCCGCCATCATCCTGCGCGTGCCGGCGGAGACACTCGACCAACCAGCATGCGCTCCCCTCTCCTCCCTCTCCCTCCTTCTCTTTCCCCGTTTCCCTCCTGCTGCCCTCTCTCCCCCATCCCCCACCCCTCTCCCCTCAGTGCGTGTACATCTTCATGGAGCTCTGCTCAGGAGGCGACCTGCTGGATCACATCAACTCATCCCCCTTCATCTCGGAGCGGGAGGCCGCCATCATCCTGCGCGTGCTGGCGGAGACGCTGCGGTCGTGCCACAACCACGGCATCATGCACCGCGACTTAAAGCCCGAGAACATCCTGCTGGCGCTGCCTGGGTGCTGGTGGGACCTCCGGTTGGCCGACTTTGGCTTCTCTGTTCACCTCAAAGCCGGTGAGTGAGTGGGGTGGGCATATGCTCTTCTCTTCCTCACGCCCACAGCCACACGCCACGCCCTTACCCATAAACACGGCATCATGCACCGCGACTTAAAGCCCGAAAACATCCTGCTCGCCCAGCCCGGGTGCTGGGGGGTCCTGTGATTGGCTGATTTGGGATTCTCGGTTCACCTCAAGGCTGGTGAGTGCCTGGGTTTAATTCTGCACTCCCTCACACCTGCTCACGACACATCCACAGCCACGGCCACAACCAGAGGTATACGCGCAGCAGCACCCATTTACTGCGGTCGTGCCACAACCACGGTATCATGCACCGCGACTTAAAGCCCGAAAACATCCTTCTGGCGCAGCCCGGGTGCTGGTGGGACCTGCGCCTCGCTGACTTTGGGTTCTCTGTGCACCTTAAAGCCGGTGAGTGGAGCTCTTCCTCACACTCATCCACCCACAGCCGCTCACCCACACCCATACCCACGCACACTTCCACCCACGGCATCATGCACCCATTGTACAGCAACTCTCAATATGCAGTCAGAAGCCCGTATGCATACCCACAACCAGAGCTACACACACAGCTACACACCCACGCCCATACCCATGGCCACGTCCATATTTTGAGGCGCCTCAAAAGTCCCATATTTTGAGGCCACGTTCAAACCCACACGCACAGCATCATGCACCACCCTCTTACCCACCCCGTCACACCCACCTGATCCCACTTCCTCCCTCCAGGCGAGCGCATGACCGGCTATGCAGGGTCGCCATTCTACATGGCGCCGGAGGTGCTTGACAGCGTGTACGGGCATGAGGCAGACGTGTGGAGCCTGGGGGACATCCTCTACACCACCGTGCCCCGTGTCTCATGCCCCCTGCCCCATGCCCCGTGTTTTTACAGGAGAGCGCATGACCGGCTATGCAGGGTCGCCATTCTACATGGCGCCGGAGGTGCTTGACAGCGTGTACGGGCACGAGGCGGAGGTGTGGAGCCTGGGGGACATCCTCTACACCACCGTGCCCCGTGTCTCATGCCCCCTGCCCCATGCCCCGTGTTTTTACAGGAGAGCGCATGACCGGCTATGCAGGGTCGCCATTCTACATGGCGCCGGAGGTGCTGGACAGCATATACGGGCACGAGGCGGACGTATGGAGCCTGGGGGTGATCCTCTACACCATGCTCTCCCAGAAGCTGCCCTTCTGGGATGACACGGACGCGGGTGTGTATCGGCAGATCAAGCGCGCTCACGTGGACATGGAGAGCGGAGTCTGGCCGGCGATTTCGGATGAAGGGAAGGATCTGGTGCTGGGGATGCTGTCCGCGGACCCTCACCAGCGAATCACCCTCGATAGACTGCTCGGTACGTGCCCCATGTGAGGTTGTAAGGGTTCCTGTCTGGGTGTGAGGCTCGGAAGGTACGAGGTGAGGGGCCAAGGATGTGGTGCAATTCAAGGGATGTTCTCAGTAGGATCTTTCAGGGTTTTGGGACGACGTGGACGCGGGCGTGTACCAGCAGATCAAGCGTGACAAGGTGGACATGGAGAGTGGCGTCTGGCCGGCGATTTCAGATGAAGGGAAAGATATTAGCGTCATGAAACATGCCACTTCGTGGTATTAATACTTGATACATTGAAATTTTCCCCCTTTTATTTGTGTTTTTCTTCTAACTCCTGTTTCTGCCGTTTGATATTTGCAGCTCATCCATGGATGGCAGCCAACGGCTGTGATATGCCGCCATCACCGGCACACAGCACAGCCTCTTCGACGGACACGTCAAGCCTCTCTGGCAGGCGAAAGAAAGACATTGCTCGGTCTACAGGCACCATATTCTCCTCGCTCGGAATGCCCTTTTGCCGTGTCTATCAAGGTAATGACGACGATGAGGATGATGACCAAAGTGTATCAGGCTTAGCATAGACTATTTGAGGTTTATGTTGCTTGGAGCTTATATTGTAGATTTGCATATTTCCTAGAGAAATATTTCGACCTAAGTGTAATACGTATGTAGGTATCGCTTTCCCGAACCTGTACCCCAGCTGGTTCTTTTGCCACACCTTAGCGGACGTGCGTGAGGTCCGTCGAGATTCGCATTCAATGCTTGATGTCACGCACAGGAAAACGCCGGATTTTACATTGTCCTGCCTGCCCCCTCATCCACCGCACAGTTCATGCCTCAGGTTAGTGGCACTGCTGGACTGCATGAACCGAAGCCTCAGATTCGCACATCCGTTTCTGGAAGCTCAAAAGACGACCAGGTGTTTTGCCGGGATGAGGTGCAGCCTCTGCATGCGACAAAATTATAATAAAAATCATTTTGTTTCGGAATTGCGACCGTGTCAATCCAATATAATAACAATTGCTGACGTGCGGGAGGCAAAAACAGCAGCAAACAGCAGCAACACGGGTGTCGTCGCCTGCCATCTTTGCTGAGCGGTTTACAAGAAACGAAATCGTGAATCGAACTCACAGGTGCCTATGGAACAGGCTTACCTGTTACAGAAGAACTGAGTTTATTGTTATGGGAAAAAAGTGTAACGGATTGTGGGCTTGTGCGACTTGTTGAACGAACTGTTTCCCACGTCGCATCAGATTTCACGACCACGACCAAGACGCGAGAAGTACTGTTACTTGGAGCTGGGGGGCACTTCCTCAGCCAATAGAACTGCGTTTCCTTGCAAGCTGGAGTTTTCAAACAAAGATCGCCGCGAGGAACTGTTTCGCATGCCAACAACATTGTTTCGCAACACACCGCATCAGCCCGCGTTTCGTCCAGGACACTCGTCGCATAAAGCTCTGCGAAACTCTCATCATGAGGGCCTACTGATGTGTTCGGTTGAAGTTGTTGACAGATGTTTTAAGAAGGTTTTGTTTTGGTATTGCACGGTTTGTTTCGCCTCTGGTTGTATCCTTCCTTGTTTTTGTTCGATTTCGTTACGATGCACCGCGCATTTATCCCCAGCCACCAGCTGAGTGGCTTGCAGAATCACGTGCGTCCTTCTGCCAGTCCAACAACCCACCACTTTCCTTACTCCCGCTTCCGCTTCTCACGTCTCTTTTCGAACCCCATCCACTCCAACTTACGCCTATCCATCTGCGAGTGTATCTAGCAGCCCGAGCCACCTAACCGCCACTCCCTGAGCTAGTAAGAGCTGCCAGCTCCGCACGTCACCTGCTGCATCCCACTTCCCTACTTCCTCCGTATCCCGCCTCCCTCCGTACTCCCAATTCCTGTTCGTGTTTTCTCTGTTGCTTCCCGCAATCATCGGTCGTCCAATCACATAACTCCAAATGGACGACGGACCGCCGATACTCGCGTATCCCGTATCCACTAATAGGCAAGTCCCATGGGACCCCGCTCAACGTCCGCCATCCCCGCTCAATCCCGCCTCTAGACGCTTTCCCGCGCCCATTCCTCCCCGCACTTGCGCGCAAGAAGCTTCCGCCTGTCCTTACAGTGCGAGTCCCCATAGCGGAAGCCCCTATGGCGCAATCTCTTCCGCTTCCCCCGTTCCCCTCCGCCGGTATAACTCCGTCACCTCCCCCGCTCCGCCGCCCGTTTCCCTTCCCCCCGCCGGATCTTCCCCCGCGCCCAAGTCTCCCCTCTTCCGCACGCCCTCGCTCGGCGCCCCCGTGCGTATCTCCGCCGCTAGAGAACAGCCGTCGCCGCCCATGTTTCTCCCGCCCACCGCCTCGGAGACCCTTCCTATAGCAGTTCCGCTCTATATTCCCCCGAACCACCCCCCCGCGGGGCCCGCGGACCGTTCCTTTGCGCCCAGCTGCGCGTATGAGCCCCGAGCGCAGCAGCTGGACCGCGCGTTTGTGCACGACGGCGGTTGCGCGTATGAGCAGCGGGTGCCACCACGGGGACCTCCGGGCCCGCTCGCATGGGGAAACAGCGGCGCCGCATCCCGTCGCGCTGCGCCGATTCCGCGACACTCCTCCCTCCCCCTAGCGGCTTCCGCCTATCCCAGCGGGAACTACTCTTCCGCCGTTACAAACAGCCCTTGTCCCGTTCTTAATAATCATCAGCGACACGCGAAGGGGCCTGCTGGTAACCTGGTAACCAGAAGAGACAGCAGCGGGAAATACGATCAGGCGGGCGGGTGGGAGAAACCGTTTATTCATCGGTCCACGTCAGCACCCGTGCCTGATGACGAGGCTTGGGAAGAGGAAAGGGAATACGAAGAAGGGGAGGAGGAAGAGGAGGGGGAGGATTGGGAGGAGGAGATGGGGGAAAACGAGATGGCGGCGGAAGGGGAAGGGCGCAGGGGGGAAATGAGCGGCGCGGGCGGATGGGGAGTGAGCGCGCGGACTGGGGGGGCGGCGGGAGGGGAAACGCGGGGGTGGCGCGGAGAGGAACCCCGGCGGCAACTGGACAGGTCTTACCTGACGAGCGCGTACGACCAACAGCAACAGCAGCAGCAGCAACAGTCGCATCTTGCGAGGCATTTAAGCCTGGAGCCGCATTTGACGGATAACCGCAGCGGGCAAACGCGCGGGGACGGGGAGCGGGCGGAAGGGCGGGAGGGGAGAGGCGCGAACCTGCTGCGACAAGCATCGGACGGGCAATGCCTTGCGCGCAACGGCGGGTATGGGCGGGGGGCACGCGGGGACGCACAAGACGGGCAATACAGGGGGGACAGGCAACAGCCGGACAGGCAACAGCCGGAACAGCCAGACAGGCGTCAGCTGGACAGGCGGCATGTGGACGGCATGTACGTGGACAGGAGCGAGCCGGACCGCGAGCGACTTATAGAGCTGCGATTGCGGCGCGTGGAACGGCGGCGGCAGCAGCAGTGGCACCACGAGCGGCAACGCAAGGCGGCGCATCGCCTTATGGCGGAGCGACGGCAGCAGTGGGAGCTGTGGCGGCAGCAGCAGCAGCAGCAGCAGGGGCTGGGGCAGGAGGAGCAGGGGCAGAAGCAGGGGCAGCAGGGACAGGGACAGGGACAAGAGCAGCAACAGGAGTGGTTTCAAAAGCAGCAGCAGCAGCAGGTGTATGAGCAGCAACAGCCAGAGAGAGACGAATACGAGAGGGAACAGCCAGCCACGTCACCTTACCAGCAGGCCACGTCGCCTTACCAGCAAGCCACGTCACCTTACCAGCAGGCCACGTCGCCTTACCAGCAAGCCACGTCACCTTACCAGCAGGCCACGTCACCTTACCAGCAAGCCACGTCACCTTATCAGCAAGCCACGTCGCCTTACCAGCAAGCCACGTCACCATACCAGTCTCTCACCCATCGCACACGTTTGCTGCCTCAGCACTACCAGCCTTGCACCGACCAGGCCAATACCACCTGCACCAGCAGCGCCCTCCCCAGCAATCCCACCTGCACCAGCCACCTGCAGCGCTCTGCCTCCGATGGACGTGCGATGACTGGTCAGGTGGCACCTGACAAAGATTCACCTGACCAGGTGGTTCCTGCCCAGGTGCTAGGGCCCAACCCGATGGCACCTGGTCAGGTTGTTCCTCAGCTGGTGCCGAGCAGGTCACTGCGGCAGCTGAGGAGAGTGCCTCCTCTTGATTCAAAAGCGCAGAAACAGCAGCCAGACCCTCACAGACAGCGGGCAGACACACAGGAGCAGCGGGCATGCGTATCTGCTCCAGAGCCTACCCAATCCTCCTCGCACCAAACCTTGTCCCAATCCCCTCCTCCTTGCTCTTCCCCTTACCTCCCTCCTCGCTCATCTCCTCAATCCCCTCCTATTTCCCCTCCCTACGCCTCCCCTTGCTCCCCTCCTCTCTCTCCTCCTGCCTCTACTGGTACCGCTATCTGCCACTCCCCCTCCCTCTCATCGTCCTCCTCCTCCTCCTTTGTGTGGCCGAGGGGGAACGGGCCTGACTTTGGGACCGGCGGGAGGGCTGCCTTGGGGGGAGCGGATAAGTGGGTGGCGTGCTTTGTCCCGCAGTGCTGGAACCGCAATTGAGGGTATGGGATTCGATGCAGGAGGCACGTGCTGCTGCGAGGTGACGGAGAGACGGGTCCAAGAGAGAGGTGCAAGTGAACATACCACGACGTGCCTTGAAGCAGTGGCGTGTGTGTGGGCCCCTGGAGTGGCACTTGGAAGTAAAGAGATGTGCCTAAGCCAATGGTGGTGCAATGCTATAATGCTATGCTATGGCGGAGTATATCATATCGCTCATGCTCTGCTGTGCTGGTTACAACCTGATTGTACATATTTAAAGGGCACTGTACTGTACATGGGAACTGTTATGTAAAGAAAAAAAATCATAACCTAACGAGCGTGTATCAAATGCACCAGTTGTGCAACTGCACTGAGCTGCATCTGCTATCATACAACCCTCAGGATGACAAGGTCACAGCAACGTGTTACGTGCATCAAACATTTTTCACATGGTGTGGGTGGGGCAAGAATGGCTTTCTGGCACCCTGAATTGAGGCCTGTTGCTCATTGAGGGGACGGGGTGGGCAGGAAGGTGAAAAGGGGGGGCAGTTGGTGATTGCGGGGGAAACACTGAGGGGTAAGGGTCAGTGGGATTAGTCAATGGTCACTTCTTCTCGAAACATGCCGTCTCAGGGCATGCTGCACCTCCGACACCCATGCAAGCAGGTCTGAAGAGTTTCGACCGCATCAAACGGACAGTGAAACAACACAGCTTTTCAATCATCCCTCATTTCTACACCCCTCTGCCCCCAACCAGCCAAGCAAACAACTCACCTTGTAGCAAGCCAACAGCCTCCGCAGGTTATCGCTGCCACAAACCCATGCCCCCGTGCTGCCTGCCTCTCAAGCAGAGAGCTTTGAGACGTCTCAAAACTCGTGGCAAGTGAACAGCGCGCAGTGTGCACTACAAGGTGACTTCAGAGTCGACTCAAAAGGCACTGCACTGCACAGGCGCTTCTGCTCGTTACTTCCGCCTTCCTCATCTCGCCTCCCCACTTCTCCTACCCTTCCGCCATGTCACAGCTACGGCCGGCCATGCAGATAAACAGCATCAGAATCACTGATGCGAGGGTTAAGCTGCAGAACCTCCTCTATGCTCCCCTCCCTTCTCCTCCTGCCCTCTCCCTGCCTTCCTTTGCCCTTTTTCTACCTACCTACCAGGGCATCACAGCACAAGTCATTGGCGAGTAAATAGCATCGGGATCTGTAATGGGGGTTACGCCGCCGCACCTCTCCCACGCTGCCCTCCCTGCTTCTCCCCATCTGCCCTCCCTGCTTCTCCCCATCTGCCCTCCCCGCTGCTCCAACCCTCCAGCATCACAGCATCAGTCGGTCATGCGGGTAAATGGCATCAGGATCCCAAATTTGCAGGTTACGTTGCAGCACTTCCCCAATGCTCCGCCTGAACTGATCAGCAATGGTGCTCAATATATCGCCCTCCTGCACCTCATACACTCCCCTCTTCCACACCCGCCACAGCACTTCCCACACGCTCCGCCTGGACTTGTCTGCAATCGTGCTCAGTATATCCCCCTCCTGCACCTCATACACCCCCCCCTTCCGCACCTTGTCACAGCACCAGGCGGTCATGCGGGTATATAGCATCAGGATCCTTAATTTGCGGGTTACGCCGCAGCACTTCCCCCACGCTCTGCCTAAACTTGTCTGCAATCGTGCTCAGAGTATCCCCCTCTTGCACCTCGTACACGCCGCCCTCCGTGCTCCCCCTACCCTCGCCTCCTTCACTCCCCTCAGCCCTCTCCTCCTTCCTGCGAGCCTCTTCGAACCCGCGACAGAGATCCGAGTACCTCTCCTCGTCCAGGCGACTGCAAGGGAGGGGGAGAAGGGAGAGGAAGGGATTGCGTCAGAGGGTGGACTGGACAGGTGAGTAGCAGCTTTGTAGCCCTGGCAGAAATTCGAGTACCTCTCCTCGTCCAGGCGAGGCGACTGCATGGAGGGGTGGGGGCGGGTCTGGGCGGGGTCGTGGGGGAAGTGGGCATGGGGCATGCAGCATGGGCCGGACAAGGGAGACGGGGACATGACAACGGGGGTAGAGATATGTGAAGCGCCAGTGTCACATGCAGCACCCACCAGCACCCACCACCACCCACAGCACCCATCCGCACCCACCACCACCCACCACCACCCACCACCACCCACCAGCACCCATCCGCACCCACCAGATCTCAGCCATGGAGCGGCGGTCCCCATGCAGGCGGCGAATGACCATCTCCCGCTGCTGCCTCAACACCAGCTCCGCCTGCTGCCACCTCGGCAGCGGCTTGGGCCCCCTCCGCCACCCTCCGCTGCTGCTGGTGGCGTTGCTGCTGCTGCCGGTTGTGCTGGTGGTGCTTCTTGCTTCTCCCGTTGAGGTTGAGTTCCGCTGCGAGCCGAGGGACATGAACCAGGGGCGACTGGGGGAAGGGTACGGGGACAGGGAGGGAACGGGAGAAGACGGGGGACACAGAGCACTGTTGCAATCAGCAAATGACCATGTATCTCCCGCTGCTGCCCCAACACCAGCTCCGCCTGCTGCCACCGTGGCAGCGGCTTGGGACCCCTCCGCCAGTACTCACCGTGCTTCCCGTCTGCCCAGCCCTGCCCGCTCCTCCTCCCCAGCCGCCAGATCCGCCCCCCCCCTCTCTCCCCCCATCTCTGCCCCCCGCCCTACCCCTCTCCCTCCCCCCTTCAATGCCCTCGTCCCCCTCGCCGCCTGGAACGTCGGTGGCCGCCACAGGCGTATCCCCAAAGTTGAGCTCAAACACCCCGCCAAAGCCCCTGCGCGGGTGTGGCAGGGAGAGGGGATGGATAAGGGAAGAGCAAAAGGAGAGAGAGGGGATAAGGGAAAGGAGGATGGACGTGGAACTGCTAGAGACAGCAACAGGTAAGTCCCCAAAGTTGAGCACGTCACACTTACATGCCGAGGTGAGGCCGCTGCGCAATGTGGTCCGTGAAGCTCGGCCTCTCATACTCCAGCGCTCGCCTGCAAGCAATGGACATGCAGTACGGTGCAATGCGGTGCAGTGCATTGCACAGAGGTGTGGTGAGGTAGTGCGAGGATACAGCAGAATGGGCCTTACAAGGGGTAGGGGGACCTGTAGCGAGTCTCAATTGCTGCACCACAGAAAACTGAGCCACCTCTTCTGTGGTGCAGCAATTAAGAGACTCGCTATTGAGACTCTCTTAGAGAGCCACCTCATAAGAGAGTCCGCTCATCCCCACTCACCTCTTCTCCTCTCCCCTCCTCCTCGCCTGCCCTCTTTTTCTCTCCTTTTGCTCACCTACTCTTCTCTCCTTCCTCACCTACTCTCCCCTCCCCTCCTCCCACTCACCTCCTCCTCTCCTCCCGCGTTCGTCTGTTACTCCTATTCGCCAGAACCATCGCTCCGCCCACCAGAGCCACTGCACCAGCAGCAGCAACCAGGTCCCACACGCCTCGCCGCCTCTGCTCGCCCTCCCCTTCCCCCACCAGCCCCAGCGCGTGACTGTGGCTGCGGTGACTGCCGCGAGTGTGACTGTGGCGGGAGAGCGAGTGAGTGCTGTGGAGAGCGGTGGAGGTAGAGGAGGCGTTGGAGTGAGTGCGGGAGAGGGGCGAGGCCACTCTGCGGGGGCTGCTCAGGTGGTCCGGCTGTGAAAAAACCCAGGAGTTAAAATGGGAGACGGCGGGTAAAAATGGGGAAGAGGGGAGGAGTGGAAGAGAACAGGTATGAGGGAGAGGGAGGCAGTGAGAGAGGGGAGGCGAGTTGACGGGGACTGCTCAGGTGGTCAGGGTGTGGTACAGGGGAGCAAGCCACGGGTCAGGGGGGGTGGATGGCGAGGGTAGGGCAGGGGGGAGGGGTTGAGAGAAAGGCGTTGGAGTGCGTGCGGGAGAGAGGGGAGGCGAGTTGACGGAGACTGCTCAGGTGGTCCGGCTGGTCGAGCACGGTGGGCGTGGGGTGGGGTGGGAACGGACACAAGCTTAGCAGACGGAGAGGAAGGCATGGCATGGGAAATAAAGGCGACTTTTGAGTCGACTCAGAAGGAGAGGAAGGCATGGCATGGGAAATAAAGGCGACTTTTGAGTCGACTCAGAAGGAGAGGAAGGCATGGCATGGGAAATAAAGGCGCAGGAAGAGTTTTGAGTCGACTCAAAAATCACCTGGATAACAAGCTTAGCAGAAGGAGAGGAAGGCATGGCATGGGAAATAAAGGCGACTTTTGAGTCGACTCAGAAGGAGAGGAAGGCATGGGAAATAAAGGCGACTTTTGAGTCGACTCAGAAGGAGAGGAAGGCATGGGAAATAAAGGCGACTTTTGAGTCGACTCAGAAGGAGAGGAAGGCATGGGAAATAAAGGCGACTTTTGAGTCGACTCAGAAGGAGAGGAAGGCATGGCATGGGAAATAAAGGCGACTTTTGAGTCGACTCAGAAGGAGAGGAAGGCATGGCATGGGAAATAAAGGCGACTTTTGAGTCGACTCAGAAGGAGAGGAAGGCATGGGAAATAAAGGCGACTTTTGAGTCGACTCAGAAGGAGAGGAAGGCATGGGAAATAAAGGCGACTTTTGAGTCGACTCAGAAGGAGAGGAAGGCATGGGAAATAAAGGCGACTTTTGAGTCGACTCAGAAGGAGAGGAAGGCATGGGAAATAAAGGCGACTTTTGAGTCGACTCAGAAGGAGAGGAAGGCATGGGAAATAAAGGCGACTTTTGAGTCGACTCAGAAGGAGAGGAAGGCATGGGAAATAAAGGCGACTTTTGAGTCGACTCAGAAGGAGAGGAAGGCATGGCATGGGAAATAAAGGCGACTTTTGAGTCGACTCAGAAGGAGAGGAAGGCATGGGAAATAAAGGCGACTTTTGAGTCGACTCAGAAGGAGAGGAAGGCATGGCATGGGAAATAAAGGCGACTTTTGAGTCGACTCAGAAGGAGAGGAAGGCATGGGAAATAAAGGCGACTTTTGAGTCGACTCAGAAGGAGAGGAAGGCATGGGAAATAAAGGCGACTTTTGAGTCGACTCAGAAGGAGAGGAAGGCATGGGAAATAAAGGCGACTTTTGAGTCGACTCAGAAGGAGAGGAAGGCATGGGAAATAAAGGCGACTTTTGAGTCGACTCAGAAGGAGAGGAAGGCATGGGAAATAAAGGCGACTTTTGAGTCGACTCAGAAGGAGAGGAAGGCATGGGAAATAAAGGCGACTTTTGAGTCGACTCAGAAGGAGAGGAAGGCATGGGAAATAAAGGCGACTTTTGAGTCGACTCAGAAGGAGAGGAAGGCATGGGAAATAAAGGCGACTTTTGAGTCGACTCAGAAGGAGAGGAAGGCATGGGAAATAAAGGCGACTTTTGAGTCGACTCAGAAGGAGAGGAAGGCATGGCATGGGAAATAAAGGCGCAGGAAGAGTTTTGAGTCGACTCAAAAGTCACCTGGATAACAAGCTTAGCAGAAGGAGAGGAAGGCATGGGAAATAAAGGCGCAGGAAGAGAAGGAGGGGCAGGAAGGGTGTGGAAGAACCAGGGAAGGAAGAGAGGGGGGAGGGCAGGGTGAGAGGGGGAAGAGTGAAGGGGAGTATGGGAAGGGGGAAGGGGAGGGGTTGACGATTGCGAGAGCAAGGGAGAGGGGGGACGAGGACGTACAAGAACGGGGGTGAGGGAGGTGGGATCGGGAGGAAGGAAGCGAGGCGACACGTCCACCGGAGCAGCAGATGCAGCAGCAGCCCTGGCTCCAGCTCCAGCACCAGCAGTAGCAGGCACAGCAGCGGCAGCACTGCCTCCGAGATGACGCTCCCCGCTCTGCTTCTGCTTCTGCTCTAAGCCGCGGTGATACTCGCTCAGACGGTGGCTGTTTTGGCGCGCCTCTGAAGCAGAAGTGTGGCGGTGTGGGTCAGTATGCTGATGGTACCGATGGTGCACTTGCTGCTGCTGTTCGTGCCCCTCATGCGGATGATGCTGCTTGTGAGGTGCCCCACGCGCACGGTCACATTCATGCGGGTGCTGCTGACTGTGACGATGGTACACATGCCGCTGCTCGTGCCCCCCATGCCACGCATCCGCCCTCTCGCCCCTCCAATCCTGCCCACGCACCCTTGCACTACCTGCCACTGCCACACCTGCTACAGCTGCACGCTCTGTAGGTACTCCTGCTGGTGCTGCTGCTGATGCTGCTGCTGCGGCAGGCTGCATTGCTCCCCCCACGCGTTCCCCCACGGGCCTCCCATGCACGCGGAGCGATGGCAGGCCAGCAGGGATAGCGCCCGCCATGCTCCGCCTCTCGTCCTCCTTGAGCCCAAACCAGGCCGGTGCATTCTGCGATTCAGCTGCATGACCATGCGAAGCTAAACCTGCTGCACCTGCTGCACCCGCAGCTCCTGTCACAGCTGCAGCACCTGTGGGACTGTCCCCCTGCACGCTGCTCTCTCTACCTGAAGAAACGCCAGTTTCTCTGTTGGTGCTTGAAAGCGCATCTGAGTCTGGTGGTTCGGAGTCTAATGATTCAGTGGCAGTTGCTTGAGTAAACTGCTTCTGCTGCTGCTGCTCCTTCCGCTCGGTCTTGAAGAGAGGCGCAGTGGTGGAAGCAGGAGGGCCTCCAAGTGATGCTCCTGCCATGCCTTCTCCTCCTTGTGTGCCTAAGTCAACATAGTCCGGACTCAACAAAGGCCCCCCCTTGCCAGCACCAGAATCATCATCAGCAGCAGCAGCAAGTGCAGCAGCGGCGGCAGCAACAGCGGAAGCAGCAGCAGCGGAAGCAGCAGCAGCAGAAACAGCACCAGAGGTGGTGGACGGAAGGGTGATGGAGGCCGCGCGTGTCAAGTCAGCGAGAGAAGGAGCAAGAGAGGACGGCTGAGCACAAGAATTGGACGAGAAGGAGGAGTTAGAAGAAGAGGAGGAGGAGATGAGTCTCTGGCGAGCAGCAGAGGAGGCGGTCACCATTATGCCGTCGAAATCCCGGATGCCCACGAGTCGCTTGGACAGCGTGCGCAGGCACAGGCAGACGCGCCGAACGTCCCTGCCATCCACGAGGTCTGGCGAGGTGAAGAGCGATACGTCCCTCAGACCCACACGCCGACACACCTGGGGAGACAGGTACGCGCAGCGAGAGGAAACAGGGAGAGGAGGGGGGCACGGGGGACATGGGGGAACGCTGAGCGTCTCTGCGATCCACGAGGCCTGGCGAGGTGAAGAGTGATACGTCCCTCAGACCCACCCGCCGACACACCTGGGGAGAAGGGGAGGGACACCAGGGGAACAGAGGGGGAAGAGCGGGGGAAGAGCGGGGGAATAACCGGGGACATGGGCGTAAGGAGGTGCTGATCGTCCCGGCCATCCACGAGGTCGGGCGAGGTGAAGAGCGATACGTCCCTCAGACCCACCCGCCGACACACCTGAACGGGGGAACGGGGGACATGACCGTAAGGGAACGGAGAGCTTCTCTTGAATCTACGAGGTCGGGCGAGGTGAAGAGCGAGACGTCTCTCAGACCCATAAATCCATCCCGCACAGCCACACGAGGAGTGTCGGCTGCTCCTTTAGGCATCTCAAAAATCGCCTACACGTTTACTGTTGAGACGCCTCATGAATTTAACCAGCACAGCGGCTCTCACCTTGAGAAAGCGCTCCACGTTGGTGCATGCATGCCAGTACGCGCGCTCACTGTTAAGAGGCCTCACAAGGGCCTCACTCACCCTCGGTGACTTTGAAGACAGACCATCGCTCACCTTGAGAAATCGTTCCACGTTGGTGCACGCGTGCCAGTACGCGCGCTTAAAGCCCGATCCACCACTCTCCTCACTGGAACAGCCCCCGTTCGCGCTGCTGCTGCTGCTGTCACCACGAGCACTAACACCAACACCACCCTCAGCAGCACTGTCAGCAACATCAGCAGCCGCAGCGGCGGCGGCAACAGCGGCACCACTCTCGGCAGTGGCGGCGGCGGGAGGTTTTGCAGGCGGGGCGGAGTCAAAGTTCGGAGTCAGGGGGACACTGGCGGAAGGGGGGGCGTCGGGCGCAAGCAACTGCTGCACCAAACAGGCGAGCTCGAGGCTGAATAAAGGGGGAGGCGGAGCGGAAGTGGGGGGGGACGAGAAGCGGGAGAGGGGAATGGGACGTTTCAGAAGCGGCAGAGCGAGGCTCGAGTGCGTGAGACGTGGATTCCAGTGGAACGGAAGCTGATTACTGGGTGGGTGAGAATAACGGCTACCAAGGGAGACGAGGGGAAGATGACGAAGTAACATTGTGAATACGCGGGTAGAAGCAACGAACGAAGAGGGCACCGCGCAATAGGGTCCATGTGAAAGCCATCCGGGATTCAATAGGCTAAGAAGCATCGTCTCGAGGCATTGAGAAGTAGAGGCATCGACAACTACTACAGGCATCGACGACTCGAGGCAATGAGGACTCACAGTATTTCGCCATCCCCTAGCAGATCGCTCAACGGCTTATCGGCGGGAAGCATTCGCGACAGAGTCTGCGACAACCAGCGACGAGCTTGTGACTGAACGGAACGAAAGAGGGCACGCGTGCGAAAAAACGGAGGAAGAAAGAAGAGATGAAGAGCGTCGCAACTCTAGGAAACTAAGGGATACAGGAGCGAGCACTACGCTATGGAGGTAATAACTTCAAACGAAGCTTCGAAGCTTGAAGCAGAATGGCATTTCGCAAATCAGGATCGACCACATGACTATTGAGTCGAGCTAAATATCACCTACACCACATGCGTCGGCAATGACGCGGCGCTACCTCTAAGTACTGCTCGTCGATGGACGCAGCTCCATTTGTTGCGACGGTAAGCGGAATGTGCGACTGCGCTGGCTGCGCCGGCGACGCGGAGAGGTCAGACGCTACCATTGCGACGACAAGCGACAGATTGGTTTGGCTGACGAAGATCCTGCGACGATAGCTCAATAACTTAGCCGGCCAGATCTGCGATGACGATAATATGTCCCTTCCACAGAGACTAGATGGCGGGTCGGCAACACCGTCTTCGCATCGACGCGCTACGACGTGCACCGGCAAGAGTTCGCCACTTCAGGACCGCCACCAGTTGCCTGATCGCAGATGACTCTGCTGGTTGGTCGATTCGTTGTGTGTTCACTGCGACTGTCGTTCTGTGTTCCTTTCTCGAGGAGCGAGAATGTCAGGGTGGGTAGTAAGCGGACGTGATGTGCGCGGGGCAGCGGAAGAAGCGCGCCAAGCTCTCCGCCCTCCTCTGATTCTGTCCTCCGCCAAGTGCAAGCTATCCGCGGACTTTGGAGGTGATCTTGATGGAGGGAGCAACGTGGGAAAACTGACGCAAGGGCGCTGATTGGATGACCTCGAATTGGCGGCATTAGAGAAATCACCACATTGTCAGGCAGGGAAATGAAGGCCGTTACTGCCAGAGCAGTTGGCAGCAACGAAGCACATGAATTTAGTGTATTTAGAAAGCTAGCATAGGATAATTCTAGTAACACAATCAACTATTATTCACTATTCTAAGGGGTGGGTAAGCGGGAAACTTGACTAAACTGTTTGAAAAATGAGAGACATGGGTGGAGGGAAATTACCTCCAGCCCACGTTTTGTACTCCAAAACGGGCGTTTAGCGCGGTTCGTCGATGACCATTGCTACATTACATGCCGCTTCGCTTTCAAAATACATAATTTTGAAAAGCGTTACAACTTTTAAAAATATTCATATTTGGAATGCTTGCTTTCTTATTGTAGCAATGGCATCGTCTCATTTCAAATGGGTCTTCTGAGACATGTGTCGTGTCGGTCGCCGTTGGTGCGACAGCGACGTGGCGTGTTACGCAGGGGTGAGGGATCCCGCTGGGTCTTGGACGTGCCTCGATGCTCCCCGCAGTTGGTCTGCGGCAGGCGTGATGTATGGTACGTCTCCTTTGTGGTGTCGCTTCTCCATCGTCCTAATCGCTTCAGGATTCGGTCAGGTATGTCGGCGTTGGCTGCGACGGTCGCTGCACCTTTCCGGAAGGAGTGGGTTCCGAGGTGCTCGAAGCTAAGACCGATTTTATTAAAGGCCTCTTTGCACCAGTTGCGAATTGTAGTGTAGGATGGCGGCTTGGTGATCCCGCCTTCCCCGCCCTCTGTTCCAAAACGCGGATGAGCGGACCTCGTTTCAATTGGTCATATTTCGCCAAGTGTATGAATTGTTGGGTGCAATAAACGGGGCAAAAAGGACCCGGGCTTGCAGCTACCGGGACCCAGATGCCTTCTCCTGCCTGGTCCGTCCTGGAGCGGGGAATTAGGAGCCGCATGACTTCTGTCTCGAAATGAATCTCCTGTCAGTTGATGACTGCGAGGTCGTAGTAGCGCAGGAACCCAGCGTACATTAAGGCCGGAATTAGGCCCTTATGAAATTCGCGAGGGTTGTCCGATTGTAGAAATTCCGATGCCATCGCATGCATTTGATGTAGTGACACAGGTTCTTTGGCCCGGATAGGATGAGAGCATTGCTTCTTTGCAAATTATCGGACTTGTAAGGTGAATGGACCAGTGGACGGGCATGATGCACCGATCGACCGATGTGCGAAGCTGACTGCCGAGCATGACAACAGTGTTGCGGAAACCGTAGCCTTCTGCTGGATGGCGTGGACCAGGTACAATGCGAGTGTCATGTCGGTGCATGGGAGGAATTTGAGCTTGTGTTGTTGGCAAAAGGATCGGAACTTGACCGAGTAGGGCTAGTACGTGCGGATTGTTCAGTCAGCCCGCGTTTGGGTGGTGATCTCTAGTAGCGGATGTTTGAGTTTTTCCAGCAATCCTGCATCAGGTGCGAGCGTGGTTAGCAAGCGAAAGACACGCGTAGTGCAACCATGGGACTGCATGGTAGACCGTCGCCAAAAAAAGGCGCTGGAGTGATTGCCTGCCGTCAGGTACTGGCTACCGTGCGTGAGGGGAATGTGGGTATGAATGTAGGGGGGCCATTTAGGGGGAGAGGGTTGCAGTAGGGGCCACCAGCTTGCACCAGCCCAGCGGGGTGCGATGAGAGTGAAGGTGGCGTGAGTTCGTTTCGCATGGAGTACTGCCGGGATTAGGTGGGGTGGTGGGAATGCATATCCCCGCTCGGATGTCCAAGGGATGGAGAACGCATCGACCGCTGCTGCATCTGGGTGCGGTGTTTTGGAGCAAAACCGAGGTAGCTTGACATTGCTCCCATTTGCAAAAAGATCGATTGAATGTGGGCCCAAACGACGCTCGATGAGGAGGAACCAAGGTGTCTTCAGGGAGTTATCGTCCCGATCGAGCGACTTGGACAGTTCATCCGCTCGCGTATTTAGCTCGCGCGGTATCTATTCAACCATGAGCCGAATCCGAAAGGTCGTACATATCTGAATGATCGACTTGCATGTCGTTGTGAGGTTGTCGTGCCTCGAACCACCCTTCCTGAGGATGAAGAAAACGCCTTGGTTATCGATCCTTGCGATGACGTGCTGGTCACAAATCCGTCCCGCAAACATTTTGAGCGCCCAGAGTACACCATCAATCTCCCGTTGCATGCTGGATGCCTCCAGCAGGTGCTGTGGCATCGCCGCACTAGCCTCGAGACGTTGACCTGGGAACTTGTCCAGCGTCGCTCCCCAGCTGTGTGCGCTGGCATCCACGTGGATCACGACATCATAGCTGTTGGGGACGTGGAACGGGGCGCCATTAAATTTTTAGAATTCGTGGCACCAAAAATCCAGCTCTTCGATGGCCGTGGGGTCAAGCAGCACCTTGCTATTCCATGATGGTGCCTGCTGAATTGCGTGCAGCAGGCCTTGACTGAATGCTCGCATCGTCGCCCCAAGGGCCAGTGACATGGATGCTATCATGCCGGTGACTCTGACAATGTGACGAACTAGGACCTTGCGTCTTGCCTTTCCTGCCCTTTGTAGGTCTTGGATGGTGGAGAGTAGTGAGGCCCGTAGTTCAGCGCCAATAAAAAACTGACCACGATCAGTGTCTAACTCGACTCCGAGAAAACGCAGCTGCTGGGTTGGCTTTAGCTGCGACTTTTTCGAGTTCATCACAAGGCCTGCCCTGTTGAGGTCATATATGATTGAGTGTCATGTGGCTCGTGCCGCTGCTTCCGTGTCACAAAGGAAAAGGATGTCGTCCACATAAGGAATGACCCGTATGCCCATGGCTCGCCAGCGCCGGGCGAGTTGTTTGATCAGTTATGTGAAAACGAATGGGGCTGTCGCGAGGCCGAAGGGGAGCGAGCGGAATATATATGTCTTCCCGTCGAATCGAAATCCCAGATACTTCCAGCACGATGGGCAAATATCCACGTGGTGATACCCAAACTTCAGGTCGATGGAGAACATCCAATCGCCCGGGCGAGCGATCTCCGCAGCCCGGTTGAGACCCTCGTATTTGAATTTTGGAATGCGCAAGTGCAGGTTCACTTGGCGGAGGTCGAGGATCAGTCGGCATTTCTCTCTCGCGACCACCACGTTCAGTGGGCTAATGCATGCAGATTGATCCGCAGGAGCGAGAGCCGCAGCGCCGCTTTCCAGGAGCTCGCTAATAGCCTGTTTGGTGAACTGGGCGTGGATCTATGCGCCCGCATGGTTGTCCTGCTGGAATAGCACCAGGGAGGCAAGTTTCCACGGCATCCAATAGCCGTGTATGATTACCGAGAGTATGAAGTTGCTTTCGCACCATGAACTCCACCATGGAAATGCCGCGCGTAGTCGCCCGCGCATCCTTGTTACAAGTTTGTCTGTGATCGCGTATTCGTAGGAAATGTGTCGCTCACCCATCCCGATCTCCGGTGTATCTGTGCAACGGGACGCAGAAAAGGCACGGACTGTGAGTACGCCTCTTTGTTTTTATATGTATGTATATACATATATATATATCGGGTGCTTATTGTCCTTGATACGATTGCATGTACCAACAACGGAGCCGTGTGTGGATGAGCCCATACTGGATAGGTTATTTGCACACTCCTCATCTTCTCTTCCGTATTGGCCCGTTTGCCTCTCTCTCTCTCTCTCTCTCTCTCTCTCTCTCTCTCTCTCTCTCTCTCTCTCTCTCTCTCTCTCTCTCTCTCTCTCTCCCTCTCTCTCTCTTCTTCTTCTTCTTCTTTTTCTTCTTCTTCTTCTTCTTCTTCTTCTTCTTCTTCTTCTTCTTCTTCTTCTTCTTCTTCTTCTTCTTCTTCTTCTTCTTCTTCTTCTTCTTCTTCTTCTTCTTCTTCTTCTTCTTCTTCTTCTTCTTCTTCCCTTTCGTGGTGCTCAACGAGCCTTAGGTGGGCTGCCGTATCGTGTCTCGTTTTTTTTTTTTTTTTTTTTTTTTTTTTTTTTTTTTTTTTTTTGTAGCGTGCCTTGTATTGCGGGCTATTTCCCCGTCATGGCGATGTCAGAATCAACAAGTTAGTTGGGCTTAGAAGCCATGGCTAGAGTAACTTAGTAGCTTAGGTTTTAGGGTTGAAGGAGGTGTCGAGAAAGTTGAAGCATGAATGAGTGGCTTC